CCCCCCCCCCGCCCCAGCAATTCCATTTCTTCTGGAGTATGTATGTATGTACAGTACTGTACATACATAATACATCCCCAACATGGATACGGATGCGCAGCTTCAATAATGGACTTGACAGAACAGGACTGGACTGGACTGGACTGGACCAATTACACAACCAACAAACAAACCCCGACCCCGACCCGTTAGAAGGAATGAATGAATGAATCGCTTTGGAAGAGAAGAGAAGAGAAGAGAAGAGAAGAGAGGCTCGTTGCTGTTGTTGGGAGAGATATGCTAAGGTAATTAGTTAGGTAGTTCGTACCTGCATACACATAACACAACATAACAAGTTCTATCTATAATGGAAGTCAATAACTGACTCCTCGCTGGGTGTTATTACTGCAGGAAGCCGACTCGGCTGAAGGACGGTATTCCCTGACACTTAATTATTATTATTAATAATTATCATGTACGATCTTTGTTCTGCCGTTCCTTTCAATTGTTTCTTATTTCCATTCAGTCACTCTAACTACTGATTAGGTAGATAATACGTGTATATGGGTATATGCATAGATGTCTGCGCCTCTAATATCTCCATACTCCGTACTATAATGTATTCCCTTCTAGACAAATTCTCCCAACTCCGGACTCCGACGCTCGACAGTTTTCCCATTTTATTGTGCGTGATCCTCGACTGTAATGCCAATAGATGATAATACGGTGTGGCCAATCGCTAGTCAATCTGAACATGCCGTCGTTCAGTGAAATCGAGTGCAGCCTCAAATCGAGTGAGAGGTGACAGTCCTTGACCAGTCAAGATATGACCGAGCGTTCTTGATACTCGATTTGCCGCCGCTCGTTCCAACACATCGACGCCCAGCACGTCATCAGAAACTTGGACGCCAGCTCCTGCTCCTCCCACATCATCTTCAACTCCCTCCGCGCAAACGCAGACGGTTGCACCGGGATCGAGCGCACATGCTTCCGATACGCCTGACGAGTCGGTCGGACGCTGATCGCGCACGCAGGCTTCGAAGGAGGAGGCGCTTGTGCCTCTGGGGCACTTCTCAACTCCAGACACTGCGTGATCAACTGCCTGATGTCCTCGTTGAGTCCGCGTGCGCGGTGCTCGATTTCGGGCCAGAAATCATCCCCCCAGAGGGGATCGTCCCGGACGGACCTCTCCAACGCGCGCAGCCAGAATTCAAAGACAGGGACCCGGCTCTTGACCTCGGGCAATTCCGTCTCGGGCAGGAAATCGCACAAGAGACACGCGACCGCGACAAGACGGATGGTCGGCTCGGAGTTCAAGACATGCAAGACGACACATGCAGGGCATCCCTCGGCCAGACAGAAGTCGCGTTCTTCGGTCAAAATCGAGTGGAGCCAAGTAAAGGCGCTACGGGCCCCTCCTCGAAACGCCCGCTCCGGTTCGGCTCCTCGTTTCCGGGCCAGAGCCCGCGTTGCGATCTGGGTGGCCTGATCATGGATCTCAAACAGCGGCAGGAGCAGCGCATGCGTGATGTCGCGATGGAGACGAAATGTCGCTTTCTCATCTAGACTGCACGCATGTTCATGAAACGCGCAAAACCTACCCAATGTCAGTATACACTGCCATCTGTCTTGATTCTGGGCACTTACTTGAACATATCGGTCTCACGCTCTTTCCGTTGCAGATGCAGTCGCACACTTCGGAAAGCTTCATTGCGCTCCAGCTCCTCCTCCGCCTCTTTGGGGACCCGAAATGGCGACGAAGTGGTCTGATTGGACATGATGTCGTATGCACCTGAACACCACTGTATGGTGTTACCTGTATACATCTCTGCGAATCTGCTGCGATCGTTCCTCCAATCATCCAATACGGTAGGTAGTCTTGCTGTTGTGCTGACGCAAGCACAATGACGTAAAGAAACGAGATGTCGCGTGAACTCTCGCTCAGTCGATCCCGTCAATCAGAGGGAGGTACGGCGAGAAGTTCAAGATGTCATCTGCCTCGGCGGAACCATCGAAAGCTGTGTAGAGAGGCAGAAGCACGAAGCGCATATTCAATTCTCGACTGTTTTGACAGCTGCTGGACTGCGAGGTAGAGGAGAATGGCGAGAGAGCGCGTTGTTCTGAAGGAAATGGCCGGGAGCGGTCAGAGGCGTCCCGTCATCAGGGGGGACAATCGCCAATAATGCCGCTAAGGACGATCTCCGCGAACGGCGGCACAGCGGCTTCGTTTTAAAGGTACGGGGCAATCCGCACTGAATTAATCAATCAATTAAGCAGAAAAAAGAAGAAAAAAAATTAGAGGGGGAAAAGACCTCAGTGAATTGTGCACGACTGTTGCACCGGGCGCATCCTCCTTTTCAAGCGTCGATCCCACTTTTCGCAGGTGACATCGCTGGGTCTGGACTCTGGCACCTGCAACGTGGATGCCACATCGCCTGCACTGCCAGTCGCACGACGCTTCCGGCCTGGGGGCAAGCCACGAGGGCCACCTTGCCAGCAGCTTATCGCGCGCTGATGCTTGGACAGTCGATGATGCGCTCGATCTTGGCATGCGACAGAACGAGATTTAGTCGGAAAGCCCAAGTGGAGCAGCACCGCAGACGAGATGGCGGCATTTTCCGCGTGGGCAAGAAAAAGAAAGGAAGTATTCCGATAATCATAGCAGAGGCAAGAATAGAAACCGTGACATCAGTGTCTCTGGATGCTGTGAGACATGTTTCATTCCGTCCAGAGATGGATTAATTCCTGAAGGCATTCAGAGATGTTGGCAAGATCGAAGGGATTAATTAGAGAGTAAACTGTCGGCAGCGTCCCTGCTTTTCCCGCAGAGCAGACCACGTGCAGCAGGCTGATCCTATCGAGATGCAGCAGTAACACAAACCCCACCATCACAGTCTGCTATTATCTCAGAGATAATTGCAATTCCCTATTAATCCCCATGTTAGGCACCAAAACCCATCGACTGCAGACCACCTTCCAATCTGGCGTGATGTTAGCCAGTTGCTGACTCCGTACGCACCGAGTCGCGATATTAATCGCCTACGCTACCATTGGATACAGATGAGCTTATCATCGAGACACGTTGTGGCAGTAAGTAAGCGTTCTCCAGGTTGGCTATCATGTAGCGAATAGCGTCATTGTTTCCTGTTATCACGTACAGTACATACGTGGTTATGTCTATAAGCCTGGGACTAGGCTAGCTGCCGTCCACAGGGTTGTCTGGATGCATTCATATTAACTGCAGGGAAAACACCCTTTAGCCAGTTGGCAATCTTTACTGCTATCTCGGACGAAATCACCAGTCACTCCCATTGTCCTGATAGTGGTTATATCAGAAGCGCCATGAGGAAGAAGCTGGTTGTACTATACATCCATGACAAATGTAGGACTAGCTTTCTTTTTTTTCCCCCTAAAATTGCCGGGTTTATGCCTCTCTAGAAAACTTCATTTCTCGTGAATTCCGCCCAATCCTTCTGGTATTGGGTAGATCTGATCCCCTCCGGATACCGACTCAGAAGCTCCTTGGCGTTGTCCCACGCCTTCAGCACCATCTGCGTCCTCTTCGGGTCTCGCTCCGTCAGCTTCAAGGGGAACGGTTTCGGTCGACAGACGATGCCCTGTGTCACCGCCTCCGTGGACACGGGGATCGGGTTGCCCTGCTCGTCCAGCGCGTGCGAGAAGTTGAAGGCCCACAGCATGTAGGCGATTCCCAAGAAGAGGGACCGCTCGGCGATGTTCAGGCCTGGACAGACGCGTCGACCAGCGCCGAACTGGTGTATATGCGTCAGCCACATTCGATTAGAAATTCGACGAGTGTGTACAGTACTTACGGTAAAATGGTCGCGCTGGTATGGGTCAGACAGCGTCGCACTTTCTTGCGCGCGCAGAAAGTCGTTCTTGTACCGGTCTGGATCAAATACCCGGGGATTCGGGTAGCGTTCCGGATCGTTGTTCAACGCCCAGACATTGATCATGACTCCCGTCTTCACTGGAATCTTGTAACCCTTGTAGGTGTCATCATTGGTCGTCGCATGAGGCACGATGCCCAGGATGCTCGAAGGCAGAAAACGAAGAGACTCCTTCACCACGCCACGGATGTACTGCAGATTCGGCTCATCGGCCATGGTGGGCAGCCGATTGGGGCCGATGACTCGATCGATTTCCTCTTGCGCTGTATACACATGGGTCAGCAGGTAAGGGTAGAAAACTGGAGAGCGAAAAAGAGATACCTTTCTTCTGCGCTTCCGGGAAGTTGATCATGGCGACGGCAAACGAAAGGAAAATGGATGCAGTCGTATCCGAGCCAGCTTCGAGCAGGGTGCCACTGACATAGCTCGCCCAGTCGTCAGAAAACCCGTCTTTTTCCTGCTTCCTGAACATATCCTCGCAGAAGCACCCGGTGAGGATGCCCTTCTTGATCCGCTCTTTGACTTTGAGCATGTAGTCTTTGTACAGGGCGAGTTCCTCCTTGTGCAACTGCTTCCCTTTCTTCTTCCCGGGGTTCATGAAGTCGGGAAGAATCCGCAGGATCGGTAAGTAATCGAGCATCGACGCAGATATCTGCGAAGCAACAGCAAACTATTCAAAACCCTACACCGTGTATTCGGTCAGCATATCTGCAATCCAGGTCAATTTCAAAAGACTGTTGGTCGCACTTCGTATATCTGCTTAACCTCCGGGTCGTTGAAGGCCAGACTCCGCCATCCAAAGGTGATGCTGGTCACCAGACTGGTGCTGTATCGCCTGACGTGGTCGTGGTATTTGTTCGGTCTCTTCACCATATCCGCCAGCATCTGTCGCAACTCGAGCTCCTGGAAAGGGATGTAGTTGACGGCAGTCTTGATGTTGAGCAAGTTGTGGATCATCTTGCGAGCCTTCCGCCAGCCCTCGTCGTACTGCATTAAGACCAAGCGGTAGCCTCCCGAAATCAGCGTCTGGCCAACGTACATTTCCGGACGAGACGAGTAGTTGTTGGACCGCAGATCAATCAAGTCCTTCACGACGCGCGGGGAATTCAGGACCACCATGCGCTGGTTTCCCAGCATGACCGAATAGATCTCTCCGTATTCTTCGGCCCATTTGCGAAACTGGACGTGGACATCTTCGCTGGGCAATTGGTTCAGGTTTCCCAGAATAGGAACCGTCGGAGGGCCGGCTGGCATCCCCTTTGGCCTTTTCCCGACTTGTAACAGCTTGTAGAGGCATGTTGCAAAGACCACGATGGCTATCGTGACCAACGGCGAGCCCGTCAACAGCGTCATTTGCGAATATTTGCCCCTTCCGAACGCATTGGAAGCTTATGCTGTAAGACAGAAGGAGGGAAGCTTCATGTAAGGCGACGAGATCGACTGCGTATCTGACTGCTCATAAGTTGAGAGCCAGACAGGGCCTCTTGATATAGTATAGCATGCATTTTCGCATCCGGAGTTGATTAACGACGGATAGTCCGTGTCTGAAGCTCATCAAGAGTGGGGTTGATATAGCTGTCGCAGCTCCAACTATCAGAGATAAGAGTGGGTTGAACGCAAACATCTTGATCGGAAGATGATCAAGGTCATGGAGACAGGACAGCCAGCGAAAAGTCAAATCGCAAGTTTGAATGGTTGCGTTGGCAGTAGTAATGTCGCTGGCGTCGCGATTTCTTCAAGAATCACCGTGCAGCTAACACCCTTTACGGAGTGCAATTAGAGGTCGCCATATGAAGAAATGCCTTGGAGTTTTGATCGAGCAGCAGAATGCTCACCACTGTGCTTCGCGACGAGTTGTCCTAGTGTTGATGGGACGTTCTGGTTGGCTTATCTCGGCCCATTGCAGCCAGTGCAGACCAGCATGGCCCAGTCGTTAGCCTCCAAGTCATTATTGATTCTGAATAACATTCTGATGTTCCCGAATTATTAGTCAACCCCTTTCTTGACAATACTTGCCAGACAGTCAAAGGTGGGGGACACACCGCTTGAACGCTTGAAAGGAAGAATGAGCCCTTGGTGCAGTCAGTGATCGACACGATAAATTGACCTTATCAGTTCTCGGCATTATTAGCCTCTCCAGAAAGATGATGATAATCAGATTGCTTCATGCCCTTTGTGACGCTTTTATGTAATTTCTCTACCTGGCAATTAATTATGGTGTGTTGTGCACATCTGCCCCGGTCTGGCGTTTTCATCAATTAATCCGAATCCGCGTCAGGATCCTTTTTTTTGCGACGAGTGGCCCATCATACTGCAATTTACTAAAAGATCACATCTCCTCGCATACCAGGTGTATTCCGGCCCAAATGTTCTACACTACAGTTCCATGCCGACATGGACGTTATTGCGAGCCTCAAGAGATCCGTCTCTTATGGCATAGTCCTAGCTTAGCACCTCATTCTCGCGCATCTGCAGTGCATTGCAAACACACTAGGCGCTAGGCTCAGGCCGAGCGGTAGAGCGACATCTCGAACGGCGGCGTTTTCTGGCTTCAAGGACAAGGAGGAATTCATAACCGTCCAGTAGTTCACCGAGAGGCCAATCTCGTTCCTCCCGCACCCATGCAAGAGCTTCAAGTAGTTCAGCGTGATCGACAAAAAAGTTGGTATCAACAGATGAAATCACACCACTGGTATCTCCAGGATGATGAAAGAGGCTGCCGCGGAGCTGGGCGTCTCTGACGTAGCTGATAGGGGATGCCTTCATAATAGGCTCCGCATGATCGCGAATAATGTCAAGCTGAGTAGCATTTATGCCGCCTGTGATAAAAATTCAGCAATAGATTCTTAGCAATTATTATATCTCGAGGTATGGTATGCTGTACTGCCAAATGCCTTTGCGGCTGCCAAACAAGCAGCAGGATGAGAGCTCATGATGCCATAAAAAAATCATCATCATCATCATCATCATGCCTGAGCTGATTCAACAAACCAACTGCAAGTCCACGCTCACGATAATCGCGGTGAACGACCAACTGGGTGATCCTGCAAACGGTTTTGCCGTCGTCGCAAGTCCAACGGCAAGAAAAGGCATGCCCGGCAAGATGGCCGTCAACGGTAACTCTAACGTAGGAACAGTTGGTTCCATCGGGGAGATATTGAGCTCGCAGTCGGTCCTTACTGAGTCTCACCCGACTACCTGTCATAGTCTCTCAGTGGACTACTACACAAGAATCTGTCTCTCGCCCGACTCACCCGGTTTTGCTAACGAAACCGATTTACCCCAAATCCCGTAATTCTTACCGAAGAGCAGCGACGCTTCCATCAACATGCCATCGGTCACTTCTCCTCCATCGAATCTTTCAAAGACCTGCTTTGCCATCTTCTGGTTTTTTTTGGGACGGATGGTTTCTCGATATACTGTATCTCGGGTTCGACCTTGAACGCAACTGCTTTAGAATGAGAGAGTTTGGACGGAGAATGAGAACCATCTCTCTCTTCGGCGGAAGCCATCATTGTACAATGTACCGGCTCAAGGGAATTACCATGTGTCTTGTGACTGTTGGAAATGTCGAGACTAAAGTGATGGTACCGATAATCGAGTCATCGACATGGGGACACGGGTTCTTGTTAACAAGGCTTAGTCATCTTGAATAACTGGCACCCGAATGATGGTGTCTGACGATTATAATCGCTTTGTAAGTGCCAGCGATGGACATGCTTGTCTGAGTGTGCAGACTGCAACTCCCGCCTAACAGAGTGGAAGAGATACGTTCCAATCAGAAACTCAGGTCTTTTCCCTGCGTATGTATGATTTCCGCTGCTCGGTTGAAGTTCGGCATCCCTGCTTCCATGGACATTCCCTCAACCGAAAATGAACAGAAGAAATGAAAATCAAATGCCCTTTGCAACTGTAGGAGACAGGTGTCTGACAAAGGTGTTTCGAGACAACGCGTCTCGCTGAAGCCATCGAGCAGGATAATATTCCTTGACTGCAACAAGGACCTATTTGATCAACTTTGTCGCGTCGACAATCCTGCCTGGTGGACGAGTTTGGCTGCAATCAAGGGGTTTCAAGTAATCAATGAGCGGATAGGTACGGAGTACTACTAAGATATGGATAGTATCTTGCCTCCTAGAGTAACTTAGCGTCAGCACATTCCATACAGAGTAGATGACCAAAGTGACCTAAGCTGGCAGTGGGGCTGTGTGCGTTCCAGCATCCAGCTTATCGGCGGTTGCCAGCATAAACCATCTCCACTGTGGTTGCTGGCTGGCGATCATTACGATAATAATAATAATAATACGGAGTAATGCCATGTGAAACAGCCATGTGTGGGCCTTGCGATCTCCATACTTTAGTAGTAGTGCCAGGAATCCAGATCCCTTCTTCCTTGTTTGTCTGTACAGTACACAACAAACGAAGGGCTGGAATTTTCTTCTTCTTTTTCTCTTAATTTTTCTTTGCTCCTTTTCTCTATCTTCTTCCTTCTGTTTTTGTTTCATCACTGGGATCCTTTTTTCAGAGGATCCCTCTCGTTCTTTGTTTGCTCATTCTTTCAGTTCAACTCTTTCACACTCGTTCGCTACTTTCATTTGAAGTAGCATCTTCTCATTCTACTCCTTGACGACTTTCGTCAGAGAGGATCTTTCGTTGGCGAATTCTGGATTCCTGCATGCGCACTCGTTTCGAGAGTCTCCGCTGATCGAATCTCGTCTAATTTCAACATCAACGCTCTCAATTCTCGCGCATTCCTTGATTCTCACCATGTCGAATCGCTCGTTTATCTCAGCTGCTGGCTTGATCAGCTTGCTTGTGGTCATCCCGCAAGCTATCCAGGTCCTGGCCCTTTCGCCTCTATCCGCAGTGGGAGCCAAATTCTTTGACGAGGATGGCAAGCAATTCTACATCAAGGGTGTGGTGCCAAATCAGCTGTCTATGGTCTTTCTGTGGATTGCTAACGATATACGGTACAGGCGTTGCTTACCAGCTCACCGATGACGATCCTCTGATCGATACCGAACAATGCAAGCTTGACGCAAAGCTGATGAAGGAACTCGGCGCCAATACGATCCGGGTCTACCACGTCGATCCCAACGGCGACCACGATGGATGCATGTCTGCCTTCTCGAATGCGGGGATATATCTGTTTGTGGACCTGGAAACCTTTACGACATCCATCAATCAGGTATGAGCCGGACGATGAGCTTGTGACAAGGAATGCTGACTTATATGTCGCTTGCAGGACGCACCTGCTTGGACTGACAGCGAATTCAGCGCATACAAAAAGGTGCTGGACACCTTCCACGGCTACGACAACCTAGCTGGCGTGCTCGTTGGAAACGAGGTGCTCACCCGGCTGAATGGCTCCCAGGCCGCACCCTACGTGAAGGCCGCTGCTCGCGACATCAAGGCGTACCGAGACTCGAAAGGCTACCGCAAGATCCCCGTGGGCTATGCTGCGGCTGACATTGCGAGTCTGCGGCCCATGCTCCAGAACTACATGGCCTGCTCGACAAACTCATCCGAGAATCTGGACTTCTTTGCTCTCAACGCCTACGAGTGGTGCGGCGACTCCTCGTACACCGTGTCAGGCTACGACGAGCTGCAGAAGAACGCAACGGGCTATCCGATCCCCATCTTCTTCTCCGAGACCGGGTGCAACAAGCCGGAACCGCGGACCTTTGACGACCAAACGGCCATCTTCGGTCCCGAGATGGACGGCACCTGGTCCGGGGCCATCGTCTACGAATGGATCCAGGAAGCCAACAACTACGGCTTGATCAGCTACGGGCCCAGCGTCGCCACCGGTGATCCAGACGCCGCGACGGCCTCGGACGTCCAGGGCGGATACACACGCCAGGGCACGCCCACCCCGATCTCTCCCGATTTTGCAAACTTGAAGTCTCGCTGGGCGACCCTCACGCCGTCCGGCGTCGCTCTCTCCGACTACACGGCTTCTGCGTCGAGCCTGACTCCCCCGCCGTGCCCATCTTCAACCCCAAGCGGTTGGACAGTCGATCCAAGCTCCCCTCTTCCTACCCTGGGTCAAGTCGGCGGCGGATCCCAGACGACGGGAGCAGAAGCGACGCGCGACGGTTCCAGTGCCACCGGCGCAGCGGCCAGCGCATCGGCGACAAAGTCCAGTGCTGCCAACAGCGTCTACATCAATCCGGACGGAGTAGGTGTTGGTGTTGGAGTTGTCAAGCTGTTGATTACCGTAATTGTGGGATTTGTCGGGTTTATGTGTTGGTGGCTGTAATCTGTAAGCTGTAGGCATGCATGCATGCATGTATGCATGTATGTACTGTGCTCAGGTTCTTCCTATTCTCTTCTATTCTCCTCTTCTCTTCCTGTGATGTGGCAACTAGGGGGAAAAAAAAATGAAAATGAAAAATGAAAAATGGTGAGGTGGTCATTTGTTTGCCTTGGGTACGATGTATGTATGTACTCATGCCTACATAGATAGATAGACACAGCCCATAGAGAAAGAGAGAGAGAGAGATGATCATGATATGATATGGCTGACGTCTACATATTTCCATGTTTTGGCATGTTTTTTCCATGTCAAAAATTGAAATTAGAAGTACATAACATAAACATATGTAGTAGCTATTTAAATTCCCGTCGAAGGAGAAAGAAGGTTTTTGACAGAGGTATACTAAGTATGTACTGTGCATGTAGCAATAGTGAGTAACAAGTTTTTTTTATTACAGTTTTTTTTTAAAAAAAAAGCACGAGAAAGCTTGATGGTTTATTTGCTCACGCCATCCGCCCTATTAGTTGGGTGTTGGGTGAGAGATACAATACATGTATGTAAGTATGTAGATATTTTTTTTCCCCCTCTTACTCCGCATATCCAGCCAGCGACATGGTTGACGACGACGGCGAGGTATCAAGAAAAGTAGAATCATTCCAATGTTTCCTTAGCTCGTTCTGCAGGATGACGAGATCGGGGTCGTAGTCGTAGTCATCGTCGTTATCATTTTCTGTTTCTGTCTCTGTGTCTGTGTCTGTCTCGTCGCTGCTTGCTGCTCTTGTTCTTGTGACTGAGCCGAGACCAAAGTCGAGGTCTGGATCTATCTCTGTTGTTGGTAGTGTTGTCTTCTTCTCGTCTGGATTGACCTGCTTGGTGGGTCTGTCGGATGATGGATTTCCCTCTGCTGATGGCGATGATGGTTTACTTTCCTCTGTAGACTCTGACTCCCCAGCAGTCCGGGTCAGTTTCGAAGGATACAGCTTCGTCAGACAGTGCACCTCAATAATCCCGTCCAGCTGGCGGGCGATGTTGACAAACTGCCGCTCCACGTACGCTGCAGACGGGCGCTTCTCCGGCTGCTTGGCCAGCATCTCTCGCACCACCGAGAGCATCGGCTTGACGGCTCTAAACGCAAGACCTTTCCGCTTCTTTGAGTCTTGCTCCAGGAGCGTGATCCACGACGTTACCTGGCTGAGGTTGCGGTCGAGATGGAATGAGGCGTCTGCGATGCCGCCGCCCCGGCCCGGAGTCCGGTTTTTGGCAGCGCGGTGGCTGGCAAATGCTGATAGCTTGCGCTCGCAGAGATAGGTGAAGATGTCGAGGATGACGGCGCCGAGCGAGAATATATCTGACAGCTGAGCATTGGCCTGGTGGGACTGCCAGGTCTGAACGACTGCCGTGTGAGGGCCTGTACTAGACAGAGTCCTCGACTTCTGGCCTGGGCTAACAACGCGTGTGGTGGAACCAGAAGAGGTGGAAGACGAGGAGGTAATAGACGGCGTGTATAGAATTGGCTTCCTCCTGAATGACAGTCTCGGGGAACTGTCGCCATGGCTAGAGCCCGACGAGGACGAGGAATGAGCGTGGGAAGCCCGTGACGGGGACCCCAGAGACCCGACTCGGATGACGGTCCCCTTGGAGGCGGCTGAATCCGATCGGGAGCTTTCCGACATCCAACTGGAACGGAAATTGAGGTCCTTCGACTTGGAAGACGACGACGGTCTCCAGACGGTGCGACCTCCGGAATGGTGCATGGTCCGCGAAGGCGCAATCTCCTGGACGGCCGCGGTCCGGATCCATCGCTCCGGCGCGGCGTACTGATAAGCCTCGACGTCGTTGATTTTTGGCGGAAACAGGAGCGTGTCGAGAGCCTCAAACTGCCCGAGGAAGATCCGGTGGTCAAAGTCCACCAGAATGTTGGACGGCCGAATCGCGCCATGAGCATGGCCGTTGGCATGGAGCCACGCCAGCCCGTTGGCCAGACAGTGTGGCCAGTTGACCAAGATCTCCCTCCGTGCTGGCTTGGGGAGTCGCTTGAAATGGTGAGGTGTATCGGTGAGGAAGGAGAGGAGGGTGCGTTCATAGGTGCCGGCAAAGAGCACGTAGATACTGTCGTCGACAAAATACGAGCCGTAGACCGAAAAGACGTGTTCGTGGGCCAGCTTCCTCAGCGAGCGTATTTCACGCAGAACCTCCTCTTCTTCGAAGAAATGCGGCGCTTCGTTGACCTTGATGCGAGTGCGTAGATACGTACGACACACGGCGCCCGACAGAATGACCTTCTCGACGCCATCTTTGTTCGACTGGAGCAGCTCGACGGGGACTCCTTCGTTGTCGGTGAAGTTGACATGCTCGCCCTCCTTGATGCTCCGAACGAGGAAGCGCCACTGCGCATGGAAGAATTTCGAGTCGAGGGCGGGACTGTCGTCGGCAGGTGAGAGCCGGAGTTCGGGCACGCGTGCATCAGCGATGGGGAGATCGGCGTCGTCGATGGACTGGTCGACAAGGGCAAAGATGCGCTCTGGGATGCCGATGTCGTTCAGGATGAGAAAGAGCCTGCCGGCTTTGGTGAGGATCCATTCGAGGTACGTCTCGCTGGTCAGCCCTTCGCCCCAGGGAGGCAGCGAGAAGAGCCGCGCGTGATACTCGGCCTTGAGATGGGAGAGAACGTAATCGCGTGAAAGCGTCGCCTCGATTCTCTCGTCCGTCCACCACAAGGAGGAGAGTTCGGGCATGACGGCATGATGGCTGTGTGAAACGCGCAGAGAAGAAGAAGAGACGTGTGGGGTGGCCAGATGGTTTGTCGAGGTGGACTAATATAATGGCTTTGTTCTCGCAGCTCAGCCTCGACGGGATATTTTGGTTACCAGCTAGGCAGCTTGTACTAGCATGGGATGCTTATCAGGTAAGGGTGTCAGGAACCTATTGCAAGAGAGGTCGACTGTTGGATATATCCTCTGCTAAGATAGGCGGCGTCTGTGACACATCCTCGCAGCGTTGGCTTTGGAAGCTTGTTTTCTTTCCACGGATCCTGCCTGCAGCACAGAGCCAATGGAAAAAGAACAGATGCTCTGACTATTGGCTGCCAACGACGCTGGACGTTAATGACAGCAGTGGGGCTGCATTCGCTATGGACTGTCCCTGGCAATCTGGAGTTCAATTCTGGCGCTTCTAGCGATGTCGGTCGGTGCCGTCCACGCGAGCACTGTTCGCCAGACAGCCATCCCCATCATCATCCCCGGGCGATCATGTGTAACCCCCACACCAGCATGGCACTACTACGTACGGAGTAGTCAATCGATCTTTCGCAGGGCCACAGGGCGAGATCGGAAACAACGTGGGGAATAAGAACGAGAGATCGATAGTCTAGTGCATGGACGCCATCCACCGGACTCAAATCGGCTAATGGCAATAGTTGCTTCGTTTGCAGCAGATATATCTTTTAACAGCAAACAACGACGCTCCATAGCTGGTCTATAGTACCTATACTCTTATAGTTACTCAGCCACCCGGACGTAGGGTGCTCATCTTCTGTACGGAGCAAGAAAATATCGATCTGAACTACGCATCACATGCAGCAAGAGAGAAATTGGCATCTGCAGTCATGGAGGACTCCGCGGAATCGCTCCTGCCTGGAAGAGGCTTCCATTCCAAGTCGGATCTGGAGATAAACCGAATTAGGTAGGAGGTCGATCTCCCAGCCACGCTCTGATTGGCCGATCGCTTGCAGCCCACTGCCCGGGCAGCCAATCAACGGCCTTCTCTTTATCAACGCGCTTATCGACTTACCCAATGAGGAAGCAAGATGGATACTGCGCTGATAAATAATTTCAAGGTTAACAGGTTTTCCTTTAGTCATCTGCCAGAGCAGAGATAACGGTGATCGTTTCCATGGTTTGGCTGCCAGTCAGCCAAGGAAGGTCTGCGGACATTCTTCCTGAGTACGGAGTACGCTAAGATCAACTATTAATTCTCTCCACTCCCTTTACAGTGTTTACTAGAATAGGTAGTCTCTTGACGCAGCTACGGCATTGGACAGAATTAAATCTATATCAGTAGCATCAGTGTCTCACGCAGTTACGTACCTATGAGTACGGAGGATAAAATAGTTAGTTCTTCAGAGTATAACTAGAAGAGTACGGCTAATACTGGGCAGGTAAATAATGAAACTGACCTGCAGCTGGGTCACTAGTCTAACCTGACGAATTCAGCTTGAGCAAATTGCTAGAATTGCCTGGGATTTTCTTATTTTTTTTTCTTTTTGAAATGGCGAGTCTATCTAGATAGATCAAAATTTCATTTTACGGAGTAAGGGGAGGGCTTGAGTAGCATGGTCAAACCCTCCCTCATTTTACCCAACCCTGACCTGCCACACACACAAAACTGAACTCTAAAAGTTGGAAAGAGTGAGGTTTTGACCACCTGACTCTACAAGGTCGAACCTGAAGTTGTATACTCATGGCACAGTTTATGTCAATCAGCCACCAAGACAGAATCATGGCAAATCAATCCAATTACTATTTCATTCATCTGGGTATTTTGTACAATTGAAAAAAAAAAACCGCAAGAAAATAAGAATAAGACAATTGCGATAAAAAGGTATCCAAAACCCGCTAGAAAAAGACCAACTCCAGAAGAAATGTCTTTCCCTCTCCACTGCATGATATCATAACGTCAACCCAAGCAAAACTCTAAACCAAAAATCCGCATGTATGAACAACTCCATGCGCGTAAAAGGGCTGCTTCGTATGGCAGCCATTGAAAAAAAAAGGAAGACAGCCAAAAGAGTAAAGACAGTCCAGAAGACTTCGCACCTGAAAACCTGAAAACCAATTAAAGCATGCTGGTGCACTCACTACTGCTGTGATTGCTCTCTGGCCTGCGCTTTCCGCTCCCTTCTGATCTGTTCTCCAACAATGATACTGAACAGACGCTTGTGAAGGTCGTCTTCCGACCATCCAATCTCGCCCGTCCCACCGTTCTGTCGGTCAGCTTCGGACAATTCCCGCATGAACTGATCGATGATGCCAAACTGGATCTCGGTGACAGGAACGCCATGAAGGCCGTCTGATGTCCAAAGCCAGTCGCCAATCATGTCATCCCGGCGGGGGGTTGGATAGTAAGGGAAAAGTTCGGGAGATCGCTTGGCCAACGAATACAGACGTCTGAGAGCCACATAGTGGTCATCAGTGAAATATCCAGACGTTGCCAGCACTTTCGTCTGCTTCCGTTTTTTAGGCTCCCGCTCTGTTTCGATAGAAGGCCTGGGTGACTCGGAGTCACGAGACCTCTTAGGAGGTGGGCGGTCTGCCACGGGCGTGGAGTCTTGGAGAGCCTCATCGATGTGTACTTCGAATGTCTCATCATCGCCAGCCTCAGACTCCTCCATCTGTTTACTCCCTGTCTTCGTCCACCAACCCGGGGTGAAGCTGTTGGTGAGTCGGCGGAACCACGATGGCTTGGATGCTGAATGTTCAGGTTCGACCGGTGCCGCGGACTCGGGTGTGACCGCAGACTGCTGGTGAGAGGAAGCATTGTCAGGTGTGGCCTCTTTCTGAGGATCCAGATTGTGATCTTCATTGTCAAGGTCTTCGCTGACAATCTCATCGCTCTCGCTAAGATGACCATCTTGTCCTTGGGACATGGATTCTACCGAGGAGAGGTCCGAATGCTCGTCTTCATTCTCTGCTGCTTGTGTGTCCCGTCTGGGTGAAGAATCGTCCACACCTCGGATCGATGAGCGCTCGTCATGGTTGCTATTGTGGTCACTATTTCGCCCCAGTTTGCTCTTCATATGAGTCCCAGGTGATTGCAAATACTGGCTAGCAACAGTTTGAGGACTGCTATTGGCGTAGTATCTTCTCGTGTTAGGGGTATCATGTGCCTTCAGCAAAGCAGAGAGATCGACCTTTTCTTTCCTCAGCTCTGCAAGCCGAGACTTTCCCAGCGGAGGTATTTCACCTCGTTGTGTGCTCCAGGAATATGGAAGCAGATTGTCTGGATCTTCGCTTGAGAAGCTCTCTTGATTGCTCTTTGTAGGACTCTCAGTCTCGTCACGAGAAGAGCGTGTTCCGTCCCTCGCTTTAGTCTGAGAGACGTCGGCCTCAGAACGTCGATCGGTATTCGATACATAATTCCTCGCTTCCTGCTGCCATATATCCCCGTAGTCGTCCTCATCCTCATCCTCTTCCGCTTCTTCTTCCTCTTCCTCTACTTTCTCTTCTTCTTCCTCTTCCTCGGATGGCTCGTCAGGACCAGAAACGACCTCACTACCGAGCCTTTGAGAGCCCTCTGCGTCACTTTCAATGACAATGACTTGACTGGAGTCTGCCATCTGGATCTGACGACTGACCGCCTCTCGTTCACGTTGCCACTCTGCTTCGCGTTGTTCAATCTGAGAGAGCGGTCTTGTGTCAGTCTCATCCAAGTTGTCACTGCGAGTCTGAGGCGCGGGTGACTCCGGCTCTGCATTCGCCGCTTCCTTCGCAGGAGTTACGCCCTTTTCGCTCGATTCCGCGGTTTCTTTTTCTCGTCTCATTCTCTCGGCTTCCATTTGTCTCCTGACAAGTTGCTCACCAAATCTGAGTCCGGCTCGAAGTTCTCGCTGAGTTTCCACACCGAATCCGCTAAACAAGTTTTCCAAACGCCTCCTTTGTCCCTCAAGGTCTTCACTGGATTCTCTCGTGCTAGATCTACTGGGACTCGAAAAGGGACTTCGCAACCTCGATCCTCGCCGTTGGCGTCTGAGAATGCCTTGAAGCGCGATGCCAGCTCGAACTACCCGGACCAGACTCGGGAATGTTCTTTTCTTTTCAGTGTGCCTTGGCTGGGCTGAGCAGGTGCTGGCGGGATTGTAGGTGACACGATATCGGCGGCTGGAGTCTGCTTAGGTTGCAGAACATTGTTATTATGAGGTGGCTCCCTTGTCTTGGAAGGTGACGAGGATTCGCCATTTGAGGTCTCTGATGCAGATTGGACACGTCGAGATGAGGCTGCAGTGGATTCCTGCGTAATATCGGAATTAGAATTGGTAGTCCTCGATTTCGTTTTGTCGAGAGAACCCGCTGTTTGTCGCTCAAAGAATGGCTTGAGTGCCCCCTTGGCTGAGCTAAGGACGGAACTAAGTCCTTGTTGTTTCGCGGACGGCAGCGAGTCCAACGACACCATGCTAAAGCCCTCACTTTCCATGATGGAGTCAAACTCCCTGTGTTCGTCCGTCGGATCCGCAATCGGGGCCACATCCTCATCCTGCTGGTGGCTCTGCTGCAAGCGCCGGTTTGTTCCTTCTATGTTTTCGTCATCCAGTAGCGATGACGATGTAGGCGTTGGGTACATACGCCGGGGTAGAGGGGTGTGCCCTGCATGTAGAGTATTCGCCGGAGAGACCCCACGAACCCTTCGGGCTGCAGACAGCGTTTTGATGGGTGTCAACTCTGAATCCCCTTCGATTATGCGTGTTACTCTCCTGGACGATGGCTCCCGTCTCTCGGACTCTCTCTCGTGTGGCGCCTCCGGGGAGTTCCTGTTCAAGTTGGTCCTGTCAAGAGAACCAGTATTTGTGTTATCATCAACGGGATCTTGGTCACTCGTCATGATAGGACGGGCATCTCCATCGGCCGCACCGTCGAAAAGGCCGCCATCTTGATGGTTCGTCTCCGCACCTCCAGTCTCTATACTCTCTGCAACGCTTTCGTTCGGGAGGCTCTTTCTTGGCCTTCCTCGTGGTCGCTTCGTTGCGCTCAATGCCTTTGGTTTGGGCGTTCGCCCGGGACTGCCTTTGCTGGGCGTACCATTCTGCTCCAGCATGTCGGACTTTCGAGGCCTGCCTCTTCTTCTTTTCGCCGAGGCTGGGCCCGAATCTCCCTCATCCTTCAAAGGCACCTTTGTCGTCGTTGTCGCCGGCTTGATTCTTTTGCGTGGACTGCCCCCTTGATTTTCGTCGTCCTCCTGCTCCGCCTCGACTGTCACACGAATCCTCCACGGGCTAAGATTGCTTTCCGACTGGACTTTGGTTGGAGACAGCGATCGTTGTCGGTTGCCTAGCCGCATGGGGGGGCTTGACGGCAGCAAGATGTCATCGAAGCGGATCGTGTGCGAACTCTTGTTGGTGTTGGGAGTACGGCTAGGCTGCCGCTCTTTCCTCTTCGGAGTCTGGAACGTATACGGCGCAACCCAGCTTTGGCGACCGGTGAATTCAGGAGGAGGGGACGAGATGAGATACTCGGCATCGCCAGCAGGTCCCAGCACATCGGGAGAGGAGCTTGGACCTCGAGAGGACATGGCGACCGATCGCGCGCTCAAAAACGATCCGTTCTCCAATCCGCAGGTGGCTGAAAGAAACGCGACGTCGCGTCCGAATCACCGTCGCAAGGCGCAACCAAGCATAACTTTTCTGGCAGGTCGGCTCACTGAATCCATCCCAGAGCTTCGCAGCGTGTCCTTCACATCAGATGCACGTGAATATCGCGGGGCAGCGGACAGATGCGCCGATAGCAACATAAACAAGTCTCCCGATCAGGCAGTCGGCGAGTCGCGGTCTGCGGCGGGATTGCTTACCTAAGCGTGTCTTCGGGGATACGTTTCTCCAGGCCTCCGCATGTCGGGAAGGCGCTTACTGGATCCGGGGTAGCGTTGTGTCACCTGATTAGTGGAAGATTACTTCACGATCAGGCAGGTGGTTCAGCGTTCAGGTTTCCAAGGTTTGGTCGATCAGAACGAATTTCAGCTTAGATTTTCATTTACCTACTCCGTAAAGGCCTCTCTTCACTTGGGCTGTCGTGATGTCGCCCATTCACCCCATGGATGATAGACGGATCCCGGACGCTGACTTCACCCGTACCTCCAATCATTTCGTACACATACATGTAGTCGACTACTCCGCACTTGCGGATTATTATTTACTTTCATTTAGACAGCCAGTGAAGGATGACGTAACTCGTAGACCGATCTCAACGCAAATAAGCGAATATGGATTCCTTCCCGGGCAGTCGCATATGATAGGTCGACTGGAGTCAGTATAACTCCAACAACAACTGAACATACGGATGGTCCCTAGCGCCAACCGTCAACGCCTTTGCCGGCATGGCTTTGCGCTAGGGATTTTAATTTTACGAGGCGCAGTGGCGTTGGGTGATCTGCCATGGTCCAAGGCATCTGATGGGCTGCAGGCTTAGCACCCCGCCGGACTTGCCGTTCCTGGAGCACAAACCCAACAGCCGCGCAGCTTTCTCCGCACCCGGCTGCTGCTTGACCAACTTCCTGCATCGCCATGTCCAATCACGGATACCAGCGTCTTTCTCCTCCATCCAGCATCCCCGTGGTGTTGATGCCATGTGCGAGCTGTAGAAGACGAAGGAGTTCCACGTTACATCACTAGCCGCATGCCTGTTGGCCACAGCTCGGTAATTAGTGCTCATCCGGTCTTGACCCTTTCGAACACCGCAAGCTCCAGCTCGCTTTTCCCGTCCACTCCGAACGCAGTCGTCCAGCTCGCCGGATCCTGCGCCGTCATTCCCTTGTTTATCCCCACGGGTGAATTAGCGTTTTCCCCAGTTTCCCCGCCCGCTGGCCGGGCGCGATGAGCAAGCCCTGGAATGCCCCTGGTTACTCATAAAAGAGCGGTCTCCCGACTCCGTCGACGCTTTCACTCGTTATTCCTGTCACCACGTCTCTGGAGTCTCGCTCTAGGTATATATGGTCTGATCTCTCTAGTTGTCGCCGTGTCTCTGATATCCAGAATGCACATCAAGCACTACCTTTCTGCAGCTCTCTACGTGCTGCCTGCGCTCGGCCAAAGCACGGGCTCGAATAGCTCTCCAGACTCGAGTGCAGACCCCTTCAAGGTCTATAACATCACTGCGCAGAACATCACTGCTTCATTCATTCCTTATGGCGCTCGATTAGTCTCGTTGCTGGTCCCAGATAACACCGGCACCATCCAAGATGTCGTCGTCGGTTATGACGACCCTAGAGAGTACCTCCACGATACGGAGACCAACCACACCTACTTTGGCGCCGTCGTGGGCCGCTATGCCAATCGAATCAAGAATGGCACATTCACGATTGATGGGACTACCTACCATATCCCGGAGAACGAATACAATGGCACCGCCACGCTTCACGGCGGATTCGTGGGCTACGACGCCCGCAATTGGACGGTGACTGCGTATTCCAACAACAGCATTACCTTCACTCTTCTAGACACGGGCTTTGAGAACTTCCCCGGAGATGTGATCACGCATGCTACATTCACCGTGGACACGGATGTCACTCCGACAAACCCGAAGGGCCTCCCTCAACTGACCACCAAACTCGTGTCGCTGTCGCTAACGGAGAAGACACCCATCATGCTGGCCAATCACATTTACTGGAATCTGAATGTCTTCAGAGAGCCGACGGTCTTGAACGACACCTTGCAGATGCCCTTGGCCCAGCGATACGTGGGTACCGATGGCAATCTGATCCCGAACGGCACCATCTTCGACGTGGCCAGTTCAGATCACGGTGTGATGGACTTTACAACCGGCAAGGCTATCGGGCGAGACCTGCAATATGCTGACGGCGTCTGCGGGTCCGGTTGCACGGGCTATGACACCTGCTTCATCCTTGATCGCAGCCCGTACTTCGCCCCCGACTCTCTCGTCCCCGTTCTCCATCTTGCCTCTCCCGCGACCGGCATCACCTTGGACGTGGCGACGAACCAGCGGGCGCTGCAGATCTACACCTGCAACGGCATGAACGGGACCATCCCCGTGAAACCCTCCCAGGTGCAGCGCAACAAGGACGCCGGCAAGGGCGGGGTCGACGTCGTGAACGAGCACGGCTGCATCGTCATCGAAACCGAGGGATGGATCGATGCCATCAACCAGCCCGAATGGGGTCAGGATTCCGCTCAGATCTTCTCGCCGCAGAGTGCGCCGGTCGTGAACCTGGCTACCTATCAGTTCGGAAACTACATTGGATAAATGAATGATGGCAGATGATTGATCTGATTTTCTTTTCTTTTCTTTTCTTTTCTTTTTTTTACTAGCTAGGTAACTGTCATGCAAAACTCTCCGCGAGTGGGGAGATGACTCTACATACTAATAACTGCTGTAGATAGTTATTATCATTGCTTATATAGCCTAATAACAGAGAGACGCCAGTCTCGTCAATATTTATTCTATTCTATTTTTCCTTATGGCTATCCTTTAATTTGAATGAAACAAAAATAAAAGAAAAGGGGGTATCATTCATCGACCAAAAGTTTCGTCCCCAGGGGAAAGAAAAAGGTTCAACACTGTCCTGTACACACGTGTCCGCGGTCCTGAAGCGCGTGTCGCCAACTTCATCTATAAAAAAAAAATGAGATTCAAGTGCCAAAAAATTGAGGCGGAATGTGAGGATCTATCCCCATCCAGCTAACGTCCAGCTTGAGCGATCTCCTCCACCACCTGATCGGCCGCCGCCAGGATGGAATCCCGATCGTCGATCAGGGCCATGGTGATAGCCGTCCAGGTCACGACTGGCACTGGCCAGGCCGTGCTGGAGGAACTTTTCTCGCTCGACCTCGACCACCCCTCTAATTTTCAGACTCGTCACGAGACTGGCGCCCGCCCAGGCACCCAAGGACTCGACCTGGCGGAACACCCCGTGGACAAAAGGCTTGATGTCCTTGCTTTGATTGCGTCGCAGTTTTTGCTCCACGAAATCGACTTCCTCTTCCTCTTTTTCTTTTTCTTCGCCGTTTTCATTGTCATCGCTTGTGGAAGGGGTCATCTCCCCTGCTGTAGATGGAGGATTGGAGGAGTCAGGGGTAGCCTGTTGAGGCGGCGGCGGCGGCGGTGGTGGTTGTCGCTGCCGGTTGATGCTCAGTTCCTCCAGCTTCTTTCTATGCTCCTCAACCGCTCGTCCTCTCATCGAACTCCATCCGTGTTTTTTCACCAGAGATTCGACGTCTGCCATCACTCGCTGCCGAATGCCCGGAATCTTAGACCCTCCTCCGACAAAGACAATACGTGACATGCATGTGCCACGGACATCGGGCGGAAGCGCCAGGAGCGTGTTGTAAACGAGAATATGGATGGGTTTCTCGTGGTCATCCAGGTCACGTTCTGCGATGCCCGTCGCGAAAAGAGCCTCTTCCACAGGCTCCGCAAACTTTGCGAATGGGACTTTGACGTACGCAGAATCCGGATTCGATGGCGACGGTATCGCAATATCCCTATTGAATTTCTCATAATCACTTTCATCGGATTTGCACCAAGCGAGCCGAGAGACAACCTCTTCACAATATTCAAATTTCACGGATATGCCATCCCGCAAAGGCTTTTGCCCGTCGTTGGAGTCAAGATTCGATAGCATCCTTCCAGTCTCCTGCATTAATAACTTCATAGCCCTGGTGCTCCGTTTTGCCTCGACCTCTCTGTATTCATAAATAGCGGTCACGACGGTCTCTGCCCAGCCGAGATCGACAACCAAGGCAGAGCGAAGTCCCGCAGCGGCGGTCACCATAGCAGCAGATGGTAGAAGGGTAATACTTGGAAACCTCCATCGGTTGAAAAGCGTTGTAAGAAGCACCGACAATAAGGGATGCGGCATCACGGAAGGTAGGACGAGAACAAGCCGTGCATTTCCCGCGTCCGTCAGCAAATATTTGTTGTATATCTCCCTAACTGCCCGCTCAATCTTATCCTCGACGAGTCCGAGGTCGACTTCTCTGAGGTCCATGCGCCACAATTCATGTTCTTTGACCCACTGCTCAGGATCAACCCCTTGCGCATGGCGATTCGCTGTCCTCTCGTCCTCTGGATGTCTTATCCATCCTCGATAATCACCGACTCTGCGCGATTGTTCTGGTCCGAAGCCCAGCACGCACATTGGCGCGCTCTCTCCTTCGAAGCCTGCCCTTAGCCATCTCGATCCAAATTCAAATATAATGGCATCTTCTTCGTTGCGAAAAGATAATGCCGAGGAAGACGAGCCAAACGACGAGATGAGCGACCGGTTCCGATGTGTTGGCGTATGAGGCTCGAAGTACTGGTCGTCCTTTCGAATTCGGGCACGAGCTGCATCGAGAGCGGAAATAGAGCTCTTGCTGGCTGAGCGCAAGTGAGATGGCTCAGTCGTTGCCATTCTCCTTGTCTCGCTATGGGTGTTGTCTTCTCGCGAACTGAGACGGAGCAGGTTTAAAAGAGGGACATATCAAGCGCACTCACAAAAACCAGCTCGGTGCAAAGCTTCATGCTGGTACACGTGGAACGGAATTGAACGAATTCACAAACCCACCCAACACCCACAGCAAAGGGGATCGACAATCGCAGGCATATCTACCTGTTTTCTGTACTCTGGCCTTCCTCCACAGCGATAGCGGAAGCACGTCGGCCCGCTTCGTGGTTAGCGCTTTCCCGGCGTTGTTGATTGGAGAAAGCTCCGCTGCCCGCGTTCCCACTCCTTTGCCAGACCACAACAAAGACAAACCACGGCAGACCTTGTCGCATTGCTCTGGACTCGTATGTTTCGAGTCTTTTCTGGTCTGAATTGAAGTGCTATGTGAGATATCGGACGAATGGGTATACCTGGGTGAGTCAATTTCTGGTTCTGCATCTTCTACGAAGCCACGTGAATTCGCGCTCGTTGACGCCCGCCGTAAATACTGGCGTACCGAGTACAACATCTAGCAAGCTGGGGGGATACATAACTAACACAAGACAGACTTATCAACACAATTGGGTCTGGGGAGCGTATTGCCCTTTCCAGGTTAGCTATCACACATCTGGAGAAGACTGCACGACCCATCCGGATCGCGGTTGACATTTCCATATGGCTATTTCAAGCCCAGGCTGGCCGTGGAGGCCAAAATCCTGAATTACGGACCCTGTTCTTCAGGCTGGTCAGGCTTCTTGCTCTCCCAATCCATCCGCTTTTTGTTTACGATGGAAGACAAAAGCCTCCCTTCAAGCGCGGAAAGGCTGTCGGCCGCAGCTACGGATCCGCTCCTATCATTAGTCTTTCCAAGACTCTGATTGATCTCTTCAAATTTCCGCGACATGACGCCCCAGGGGAGGCTGAGGCTGAATGTGCCAGATTACAGCAGGCGGGCGTTGTTGACGCTGTAATGAGCAACGATGTCGACGCGTTAATGTTCGGGTCCACATTCACAGTGATGAATTTCTCGAAAGAGAGCTCGAGCGGAACGAGCGCGGCGACCCATGTTGACTGTTACCGTACGCAAGATGTCCTCGGTCTTCCCAAGAATGTGGAACTGAGCCGTGCTGGCATGATTCTCTTTGCGATGCTGAGTGGAGGTGATTATTTGCCATCGGGGGTCGCTAAATGCGGAAGCAAGCTTGCTGGGGAGATCGCAAAAGCAGGATTCGGCGAAGATCTTCTTGAGATTCTTGCTGGAGATGAAAGCCAAGTGGAGATGAAACTGGCCGAGTGGAGAGACAGACTTCAGTACGAACTGGAAGAAAACGAGAGCGGCTACTTCCAGTCCAAGCACAAAGCTGTGAGGATACCGGATACGTTTCCTGACCGGACTATTCTCTCCTTTTATGCCAATCCTGTTGTTTCCAGTCCCGAAGAAATTGAACGTCTTCGACAAAGACTCGCCAATGCTTGGGACCATGAAATAGATGTGTTACAATTGAGGATGTTCATCGCGGACGTCTTTGACTGGAAATACCGCTCTGGTGCGAAAAAGGTTGTCAGAAATCTGGCGGAGCCCTTGGTGTGTTCTAGGCTTCGGCTTCGCAAGCCTGTGGTCGCTAAGCAAGGCTATGGCTCATTCGTACCTAACGCGGATGCTCCCATCTTACAACGAATTTACAAAAGCCGAATGCATTACAGCACGGATGGCCTGTCTCAACTACAAGTAGAGATTGTTCCAATTGACGTTGTTGGTTTGGACCTGGATGCGGAGGAACCAAACCCTCCACCTCAACAAGGTTCTCAGCAAGAAGCTACGGAAATAGGCGACGATGAAGAGGAAGCGGAAGTCGAGGCTGAGCCAGCTGCGCAAACCATTTCGGCATTCAAGCAGCCGAGAAAGCGATATGACCCTTATGAGCCCGAAAAGATATGGATCTTTGAGGCCGTGGCGAGGATCGGCATCCCTGATGTCGTGGAGAGGTGGGAGAAAGAGCAAAACGAAAAAGCAGCACCCAAGAAGCCTGCCCCCAAGAAGACTACGACAAGGAAAAAGAAGCCGATAGATCCGTCAATGAAGCCCGGGGGGATCCTTCGTTTCGCCACAGTTGCTAAACCAGGTAGTGAACTCAGTCCCAGAAAACAATCCCAGCTCCTTGATGCCACTGTCTCGAAATCTTCAACGGAAGGCTCTCCAGGAGCCGAAAAAGACAATGGTTTCCAACGTACGTCTTCCAAGACAGGTCCTCCAGCGAGTTTCTCTTCCCTTCAAACTCACAGTATCAAAAAGGCACCATCTTTAGCGGTCGATGATCTTGCGGATGACTTCGCGACGGCATGTAGTATATCCGATGTCGGGGCTACCAGAACCCTGTCGAGGACGACACGTCGACGCCTTGGTATGAGACGCCACGGTCTCGGTTCCCAAGATGCGCCGATAGTTTTAGATGCGGATCTCGGTGATCAAGAAGCGTCTCCCGTTTGCTCTACGCATACGACATCAGCAGGACAGTTCAAGATTAGCTACACCAACGCCGGTAGCCCACCACCTCTTGTGACAGACCTGCCACATCCATCACAGGTTCCGTTTCCGTCCTCCCCCACACGGCAGGGACGGCGTTCGCGAAGAAAGCCAACCCAATCGCAAGTACGAAGCACAGATTCTGAAGCATCTCAGGAGTTGGAGACTGCCTTCGAATCGCTTTCCCTGTCGACTCCGTCAAGGAGACTGCGCCGAACTGCAGAAAATCCGGCTCCATTCCCTCGACGCTACCCGGGTACTGACGAAGAGCCAGTCGAATTGGCTTGCCAGGAACCTGAAGTCTTGATTATCGACTCGTCGCCGCCATCGATGGTATCTCCGACGATGCCCTTGGACACCAAGCTGGTATCTGCCCAGGCGGAGGACTCCAGCCCGATACGGCGCCGGCGGCAGCGGAAAAATATTCCACAACAAACGACGTCGTCGCGCAAAGAAGGAATTGATGTTGAAGAAGTTGTTCAGGAACGCCCTTCAATATCGTCATCGACACAGACGAAAAGCTCTCGACGCAGAAGGGATTCGGCGAAAGAGGAAAATTCGCAATCGCAATCAACAACCACGAGACTCGTAGAAACAATCCAGACACATAATGGTTTCTGGACAGTGGAGACCCGTGAAGAGCAGGTGCCATCTTCATCCTCTAATATCCGAGATGGCGACGAGACTGATGACGCCGCACATGAAGGAGAGGGCAAGACTAAGACTAAGAAGAGGATTGGAAGAGTGAGCCTTATCGATTTGAGTTAGGATATCACTTTTTTTTGTTCCTTATCGGCGTTGTTTAGGTTGGTTGGTACGGGGAACTGACTACCTGGGAACCAAATGGCTGGAATTGGCTTCTCCCGAAAGATATATAAATTCATTACCTTATAAACTAATGGAGATATATTAAGAGATAAAAACTACACTATAAGAGCAAAAAGAAACAAAAAAAAGGCGGGAAAAAGGAAAATCGTAACGTGTATCTATTTAACAAGCGAATACCTTCAAGAATCCCCACAGGCCAATCCCACTCAAGACAGGAATCGTAAGATTGTCATCAAGTCCGAAAAGGTCCACCAGCTCGCTCCCCGCGGCGACAAGGCCCGAAACAAAGCTCATCACGCCCAGCGCCAGTCCGCCACTGATGATGCCGCTCGACGTATCAGGTACGTTGTCTGGAGAGACCCGGCTGATGAGATTCCGAGCAGCGTCTGGAAACAGATTCAGGCAGCCCGTGAACATGAATGCGCCCTCGGGATCGTCGGGGAAGGTGCCCGTGCGAGGGACGAACCATCCCCAGAACATGGACGCCGTGAGAACGCCCGTGAGGAATGCAGCCAGCGTCCCGGCCAGGCTCTTGCCGCGTCGGAGACGGATCGTATAACGCCCGTACAGACGCCCGAACGTGGACGCAGCGGTATCGCACCAACTCAGCAGGAGGATGCCCACCACTCCCACGTCTTTGGGGAAGAACCTGAGCACGATGTAGGCTCCGAGGAGATACCAGACCACTCCGTTGAAGCCATTGACCTCCGTCTCTCTCATGAGAGCGCCCACGCACCGAATAAACAACTTGTTGACGGCCTCTGACCGATGACGGATCACGTCCGTGGCTGCAATACCGACCAAACCGAAGATCAAAAATGGAGTAATGGCCAATGGCTGGATCCCGCGTCGGTAGAGGTCCAGTGTCAAGAAGCCGATTGACACATGGAGGAGCTTGCGAGGGATCTCGTGGCGGTGTATGAAGGTACGGTAATGTCGGTGTAGTGGGATCAGTCCTAGAGGCGATGGCGACCGAGAGAAATCACGCCAGCGATCTTGGACGTTGCTGTACGGAGAGAGATGGCCATTGGGTGATAATTTTCCGTTACTCAACGGCTCGGACTTGGTTACTGGCGATTTTCCAGAAGCTTTCGTCTTCGACTGGCGCCGTCTGGCGGACCCTGCAGATTTGGCAGTGGAGGTACGAGAGGCTCGGCGGGTCTGGTGATCTGCGCCCGAGTCTGGCCCTTCATTTTGATCGTCATCGTCATTCTCATCGATGCCTTCTTCTGATATCGGCTGCGGAGTCTGGAGCCGCTGTCGCCGTGAAGCAGAACGCGTCACCGGGCCGGAATAACCATCTCTTGACTCAGACTTCTCTGACGGTGTGGGCGACGGGGAAATAACCCGGGTCGCTGGTACGGCGCGCGACGAGGACATCTCGACCGCGCCTTCGAAGAGGGGCGGCAGCGCGGGAAAGGGGATCGCTCCGGTGACAGGGCGATATAACGAGCGGACAGAGTGAATGGAGAGGAGGACAGATGGAAGATCTCTTTTGTCTGCGGTGGACGGAATATTGGCGGTTAGTTATTGGAACACTGGCGAGGCTTCAGATGATAAGCTTCGGGCGCGCATTGAATGGAAGCACCGCTGGGATATGGTAACGCACACGACTTCTTCAGCACATGGCTCACAAGGACAGCAGCAGGCACAGATCCGTATTTATGGAAATAGAAGAGGAAAAGCTATAGGAACAGTCGGAACTGGAAAGAGATCCTGTCGCAGACGCAAGATCTGGCTTTTTCCTGCATTTTTTTGCCTGGTGACTTCAGCGGCTCCGCCCGTTCCGCAGCTCGCACGTGATAGTCCGGCAGAAAACCCTCACCGCCCAAGATCTAATCTTGATAACGGTTTATCGCGATAAAAAAGTAAAAAAATATACAGTCAAAGCGTGTTCGAGTTACAGCCGACGGGGGGTAGGCAGACTTTTGTCTGCGCGCGCATCCCATGCCTAGAGCCATTTAGTTTCCGTCAGTGTTCACAATGGCTCCCAAACCTCCCTCATCAGCGTCCTCCAGGGCGTGGGACTCTCTCAATCCTCCGCTGTCACAATGGGTCCTGGATGCTGTTGCGACCATGGGCTTTACCCGCATGACTCCGGTCCAGGCTTCGGCCATTCCTCTCTTCATGGGCCACAAAGATGTCGTGGTCGAAGCCGTCACTGGGAGTGGGAAGACCCTGGCATTTTTGATCCCTGTTGTTGAGAAGCTGCTACGGTTGGAAGAGCCGATCAAAAAGCACCATGTTGGAGCGATTATTGTGTCCCCGACCAGGTATGCGCATATTTTGGACGTGACAAAAAGACTTAGCAATTAGCCTGACGCGATGTTATTAGGGAGCTTGCAACGCAGACCTACAATGTCTTGCTATCCTTGCTAGCCTTCCACCCTCCATCCGCCGCAGCGATTAATCCGCCAGACAGTAACGACGAGCAATCTACGGCGCCCCAGAAATTTCCGTCGTCTACGCTGAAAGTAGTTCCACAGCTTCTCCTAGGCGGCGCGAATTCACCAGCAGATGATCTGAGTACATTCCTCAAACGATCTCCAAACGTCCTCGTCGCCACGCCGGGGAGACTCTTAGAATTGCTCTCCTCACCTCATGTCCACTGTCCTCAGTCGTCATTCGAGATGTTAGTGTTGGACGAAGCTGATCGACTCTTGGATATGGGTTTCAAGGACGACCTTCAGAAAATACTTGCGCGACTACCGAAGCAGAGGAGATCAGGCTTGTTCAGTGCCAGCGTGAGTGAAGCGGTCGATCAAATCATAAGGGTCGGATTGCGGAATCCGGTTAAGGTTGCAGTCAAAGTACGAGGAGCATCAGGCGTGGAGGAGAAACGTACTCCTGCGAGGTATGGCTCCATCGACTTTTTGCCTCATTCTTCTATAAATGCTGATAAACGGGAATAGTTTGCAGATGACCTATCTCGTCACTCCCCCTACCCACAAACTCCCCGCCGTGAAAAGGCTACTCTTCACCGTCGAACCCACGCCACAGAAGACCATCGTCTACTTTTCAACGTGTGCTGCAGTAGATTATTTTCAGCACATCGTCCCGTTGCTGCTGCAGGACCAGTTTTCCGTCATACCCCTTCATGGAAAGCATGCTCCGAACGTTCGACAGAAGAACTTTGCTCGCTTTACGAACTCCACCACTCCTTCTGTCCTTTTGACCACGGACGTCGCGGCACGGGGACTGGATATCCCGTCCGTTGATCTTGTAATACAAGTGGATCCTCCGTCGGATCCAAAAGCTTTCATCCACCGCTGCGGCCGTGCTGGGAGAGCTGGTCGGAGAGGTTTGAGTGTGGTCTTACTCCATCCTGGTCGTGAAGAAGGCTACGTACCTTTCCTTGAAGTCCGCCAAACACCGGTTACACCTTATGAGGGTCAAGGATTCTCCGTCTCTGACGCAGACGCGTCTGAAGCGACAGAGATCGCTCGAAAAGCGGTCCGCGCAGACCGTGCTCTGCACGATAAGGGCCAAAAGGCCTTTGTCAGCTGGGTTCAAAGCTACAACAAGCATCAAGCAAGCAGTATCTTTCGCATCGCGGACTTGGACTGGGAAGCACTAGGCCACGCTTGGGGCCTCCTCAAATTGCCACGAATGCCTGAGCTGAAGAATTTCAAGGGTGACCCAACTCTAGGCGTTACGGTGGACTGGGACAATTATGCATACAAAGACAAACAGAGGGAGAAGCGTCGCCGCGAGGCTCTCAAAGAAAGCGCTGAAGCCGAGGCTAATGGAACCCAACAGACATCCAAGAAGAGAGCAGCGAGCGAGAATATTCCATGGAGCCAGACGATAGAAAAGAAAGCCAAACGAGAGAAGCGACGAGAAAAGAAGAAGGCCCGCAAGGAACGAGAAAAGTGGGCGAAGATGACGGAAGAAGAAAGGCAAAAGGCCCGTGAGACCGAGATGATGCTAGAGAAGGTCAGAGAGCAAACACAACAGCAGAAATCCGCCAAGAAACGAAAGACGGAGAGCGAGGATAGCTCTGAAAGCGAAGAAGAATTTCACGGCTTCGACTAGTCTGCTGTTTACGAGCTGAACTCCGTGTCTTGCAAGTCATGACTGCGAGGTCTTCCCGGCGTTTTCCATCAACAGCAATGGAGACCTCGTCGATCTTGGGTCATTTCGTCTTCTCCGAGCGCGGTGCAAGTCAGGACAATCAGTCTCCTGACTTGGCGAAGCGGACACTTGACTGTTCGCGAATTTGCCCAAGTTTTATATTATAGGAGTCAAACCTCATCGTGAGGATTGTCGGAGGAAAGACACGAGAGGAATCCCGAATAGACATCTTGAGACAATTACCAGAGGACAGTGCAATCATCAATTCGAAAGCTGTCATTGACGCACAGGACAGATGAATCAATCTATCATCCACGGCGATTCCGCCGAGGCAAAATGATTTTTGGCAAATAACTGGGAATTCCAACAGACGACTAGCTGGAACATTTGGCGCCTGGCCTCGCATGCCCTATACTATAGGTTTTTAGCTTCTCTCTAGGCGGACCTCCTACGAAGCCTAGCTATATAGATACTATATGAGCATTGTACATTCTAATGTTAGTAAATAAAATTGTTGCTACGGTAGTTAACTATCGTAGTTCTTTGGTGCATCGCTTTATACCTATTATAGCCTTTATACTATACTATAGGATATAGTATGAAAGTAGGCAAGGAAGTGAGCTGATTGTTATAAGTGAGTGGGAACCTACTACCTTGTCAACATTCATACAATAGGAATTATTTTCTTTATGGGTGAAATAATCCCATAAATAGTCAGACAATCCGCATCTACGGGCCTTTGTGCTTTGTTTCTTTTCTTTTTTTTGTCCCCAGCCATTGTTCTGTTCTCCCAGCTTTTCTAGTCCTCTCTTTCATTGTTATTCGTTTTATACAGCGAGCCAGACCTGGAAAGGAGGTTCTTGTTCTACAAAGGAGGATAATAAAGAAAATAAGAATCGTTTTCAATAAAACAAAGGCGTTTATTCAGCCATTTCATTCACTCAACTTGATTGTCCATGGTCACAATGAAATTATACATATTTAGCATATATATGATTTCTCCGGCGGACAATGAGCAGCCATAGTATATAGATATCCATCTTCCTTCTATTCATGATGAATGAATTATTCGACAACGAACACGTATATAAAGGATATATATCCCCCTTTTGTTGTCTCTTGTCATGTTGTTCTCATTTTCATTGCTCATTTACTCAACTTAATGACAATCTCAACAAGACAGACAACAATAACGATCGAGTTTGTTCTCTTAATTCCTTCTTACTAGAGACCGTAACTGGATAACAACAACAACAATAATAATAATAATAATAACAAATAATAACAAAACAATGTGCTTCTACAAAGCAAACAAACCCCCCTGCGTCTGCAAAACCCGCTATCTGGCTCGCCACTGCTGGCGAGCGACATTCTACCGATCGTACAACTCGAATCCGAACCCCATCGTCCAGGTCTGCGGCGTCGTGGAGACGGCCACGGATGTGCCGCCTGTGTGTGCCATGATTCCGAGTCCCTCGCTGCGCTGGTCGAGGCAAAAGCCGCGGCGCAGGCGACGAAACCGCTTGAACTGAGACGACTTCTTCGAGACCAAGGACGACGACAGTCTGGTTATGGTCATTCTTCCCACGGTCTAAGTCGCTCTGTGTTGTCGTCGTCGTCATCATCGTGTCCTGAATCCGTCGTTCCAGCTAACGTCGTTGAGCAGCATCACCGGCCACGGAACCAGAAGCAGAACAAAACACCTCGGCCACGACGGCTACGAAAGACATCTACCACCAAAGTGTTGCCATACGCTTCGAGAAGAGCTACTACTACGAGACTGGCACAAGAACCATCTCAGAAGCAGGCCCAGCAACCGCAACCACAACCACAACCACAACCAGCAATCTCCGTCACAGAAGCCACTCCTACCGAGACAACGATGAGCGATTTCTTCGATTTCTCCAGCTTTGATGATATTACTATCTCATTACCAGAGGGTAGTAGTACATATTGTATAGGTGAGCGTCTGGATCCAAACCATGTCCATGTCCTGGAGACAGAAGACACTGAGCAGCAGCAGCAGCAGCAACAGTCACATTCACGATGCCGCCAGAAACAACACTTCCACCTCCACCACCTCAGATAATCGATCCTCGTCTTCTTTCTAACTTCGATGATATGCCTTTGCCGGAGAATATAGGTGGTTGAGTCTTCCGTGAGAGGATGATACACACAAAAAGAAACCAGAAAAAAGAAAAAGATTCTGCCGAGAGAAGAAAAAGAAAGCAGCAGCAGTAGCAACAACATCTCTCCGAGGAGAAACCGGGACTAAGTTCACACTTTTTTTTCCTCCCCGACTTTGACGATATATTTATATATGCTTTGAAGAACTACCTAAAGAACATTAATTAATGAATTGATTTGCTAAATTTCTGGAGTTGATTCATATGATATTTATATGTACTGTAACTTGAGGATTCCTCCACATGTATATTGACCATGAGGGATATAGATGCTGTAGGATATTACTAGGTATGACAGATAGACGCTGCAGGCTGACTATCTTCAATTGGAAGAACGTACTGTACAGCAACGCTGTAGAGCTGGATGTCTTTCTCTCACTTATAGACTTGCCAAGTCTGAGGAGATTAGTCGAGAGAAACGAGTCCTGGTCGTAGCTTATATTACGACAATTTTGGTTACAAAGTAGAAACTGGCCGACTTTGAAATTACGATTACAGAAAGGCAGACTTGGCTTCGGAACCGAAATCTCAGATTCATTGACAGTCCACGCAAGCAGCCCGATCAACCGCTTCCTCAAAGAGAAAGAGGGAAGTCCGTGGGGACATGTCACTCCATCAGAGGTAGCTAAATGACATGACACAATCGCAGAAAAACAGAGACGCCCAATGTACACATACAAGTAACAAAGGCACAAAGGTACAAGACAGCAAAACATCAAAAGTACACAACGCCACGAGTACATAATGGGAAACCGACAAGAGTACAAAGCACCAGAAGTACAAGCAGAACATCAAAAACACAGACGCAACGCACTCAGAGGTATGGATACAAAGACAAAAAAAATTCAAAATAGAACAAGAAAACCCAAAACAACCCAGAAACGCCGCGATATAAAAACCCTCTATAAACACCATTCCGAGCATAATAGCGACAAACCAGAACAGCTGGATGTTAGAGCGCATAGTAGCAAAGCTCTATACAGCCATAGTCGTGGACGGACGGTGCCGGGCGCCGGGAGTGCATAGTAGCAAACCTCGACAGGGCCGCAGGGCACGCATCTGATCCCTCGGACTACCAACGTCTATACCTATTAGAATTATAAGCATCATACAGTCAACCCAGATTGCATCATAGGTAACTCACCTATAATGTATGCCGTATCGAATTCCCATATCTCCCGCTGCCGAACCACTTCCACTAAGCCCAATCACTTCTTCATTTCCCGAAGAAGGAGGTCTTGAGCGGGGGTTCAACAGAACTTGCACATTAATACAGGGAACCAGATGAGACGGACAATTCCAACCACCATTACTCGAACTCCAAGTCATTGGTCAGGTCCACTGACTTCTTGAATTCATCAAATCCCTCGCAGAAAGCTTCATAACCGAAATCCAACTCCTCCGGGGTCATCATCTGTTTCACGAGCTTGACTGCTTCTGGGGGAGCGCCCAAAGTCTCAGCCTGAGGTCCGGACTCTGGCCAGGACAGTTTCCGAAGATCTCCGGTAGGACAGTTGCGGTACAGTTCATAGGCATCCCGCGCATATTCGTCGTCCTCCCCAAACAACTCCTTCAATTCGTGCAGCTCTTCTGCCGAGAGGGTTATCGGTTCACCAGGAGTTGTGGGCTTAAAGGAGGTAACCGGCTTAGCCGAAGTAGTTGGTTCAGTGGGAGTAACTTGTTTAGCAGTAGCCGGTTCAGTAGTAACCGGTTCAGGAGGAGTAGCCGGCTGAGCAGGAGTAGCCAGTTTGGATGGAGTCGCTTCAGTAGTAGCCGGTTCGGTAGTAGTTGGTTCGGTAGCAGCTGGTTCGGTAGTAGCTGGTTTCACAGGGGTCGGTTTGGTAGTGGGTGTCCGTTCAGAGGGAGAAGGCAGTGGGCTCGATGAGTAGCGGCTCGAAGTACGAAGACCACTGGGAGTCTTCGGCTTGTACTTCTCGGCCTGAGAACGCGCCTTGGCCAATGCTTCACTATCAAAAGCAGATGCTGGTGGGAGAGATGGCGTAGCTGGCGTAGATGGAGTAGGTGTGGAGGGCTCCGCCATGGGCTCAGCCGCGGGCTCAGCCGTACGCGGTGTATGTTCTGCTGGCTCGGCCGCGTCAGTTGGGCGTTCCAACGATGGCGGGCCCTCGGGTCGAGGGACAAAAGGATCCTCTAGTCCGATAAACTGGCGGCCGACATATGGATCAGTTGCACGGGCACGGATTTTTGAAGGCGTATCCTGAGGGCTGGTGTCGAAGCGAACCCGCTTCCGCGGCCGCGGATCCGATCGCCCGGTAGTAGGAGCAGGAGTTTGAAGTGCGGAAGCAATTTGGGGGGTGTCTGCGGTGTCAGACTCTTCACTCTCTGGACTACTATAGGTGAAGAAGTCCAAATCCATCCCATAGCTAACTCCAACTGGATTTGGGATCACATCGGGGGAGGGAGGAGCCCGCTTGCGTTTCTTGGCGGCATTCTCCACCTCTGCCAGTGGGGTGAGAGTGTCCTTCTCCGCTGGTTTTTCAATGGCCGGACGCGACTCCGCCTTTGATGGGGTTTCTCGCGCGTCTCCCAGGTATAAACGCTTGTCGAGACCAGCTGGGAAGAGCGAGTATGATAGGTCACGATGAATTTGCTTCTCGGCGTCGACCTGGCCACGGGCCTTTTTGCCTGATGGAGTTGGCGAGACGTCAGCATCACCAGGTGCAACTACGGCATCCCCAGTTGTAACTACAGAGACTTCATGTTAGCAATACGGCTTTCAGTTTCTCGCAACGAATTTACTTACCCGATGGGGTCCCCCGGTCGGCCGAACTTGTCAGAGTGGGCAAAAAACCGCGACAGCGACCGAGGCACCGAGCCCAAGAATGAACGGATACCCCAGGCACTCCGTGGGGTCTCTGGAGTTCGTGGCTCTGCAGCAGGTTCGGACGACGCTGCTGGTTCTCCTTCATCGTTCAGCGTGTTAGATTTCTCCGCATTAGGTTTCTCCACAAAGGGGTCGGTCTCGTCGACAGCAGGATTCTCAGACTCCTCTGCGGCAGCTTTCGCTTCTTGCTGGGCGACAAGTTGAGGAAGACGAAACAGAGTTGCTGTAATTTGCCCTTTAGCCTCCAGCTCCCGGCGGCGACGCTGCTCGGAATAGGATTTCATGTTTGCGGTGTATCGACGGGGGGTGGTTCGATGGGCGAAAGGCGTGCTACCGGGTGGTCCAGTAATGCGACGCTTTTGAGAGGGTGTAGCAGCAACTTCATTGTCGTGATCATTCTCACCGTTCTCATTGTCGGCGCTAATCTCATCGAACGACCGCTTCAATGCATTAAACCCGGTCGCTACATGCTCGGTCAGCCTCCTGCTCAAGAAACTTGCTGGAAATGGGTCCAAAAAGTAGCCGTAGGGATGTCCATTAGGGCATTGCAATGGGGCCGAGCAGCATGGACAGCGGATGTAATGCTGGGGTAATTCGGGAATGCTCGATGTATGCTGGGCAGGCGGGGTTCCAGGGGACCCAGACGACGCCTGGGCTGCTGGGGGCACAGTCTTCTCCACGTCTTCCTGAATGACCGAAGACGGAGAATTGATGGCGTCTGCCGCAGCATTGTAGAGGTTGGCTGCCGCATTCACAACTGATGGGGAAGGAACATCAAGGCTGGGGCCATCCTGGGTCTTCATGTCCGACTTTTCAGGGGTTTCCTTGGGGCTGGGTTGGGGGGAGGGTTGAACCTCACCCTTAGTGGTCTCATCCTGTTTAGGCTTCTCCGGGGTAGCAGTTGAAGGACCAGACTCGGCCTGAGTTTCAGCGTCTTCAGCGGCGGATGACTCGTCCTGGGTCTTCGTCGCCTTTTTCGTGGATGCTTTCTTCTTCGTGGCGGCCTTGCGACCACGCTTGGCAGGTGCAGGTTTGGTGGCAGGTTTCTTTACCGTCGACTTCGCATCTTTTGAGGGGCTCGTCGAGGCTTGCGCGCGCGTCTTCCGCCGACGAGGCACGTCCTCAAGCGAGACGAATCCGCTAGGAGACACGGCCTGCGAGCGGGTACGCATAGTGATGGCAGTGTCGCTGAGGCGACTGATTCAGAGGAAGGTAAAAGTCAGCTTGAAGGCTTGGAAGATGTTTTATTTTTCCTTCGCAGTAGTGAGAATTGCAAATTGGCAGGAGACGTGTTTCATGGAGAGAAAGGAGAAGAAAGATAGTAGAAGTACCGGAGAGACTCGGTACGAACTTTGAGTCTGACTCGAGATATGACAACAGTCACGTCAAGAAGGGTGAGACTCAACGCGTGTAGTTATGAAAGGTGGGAGGAAGGATAGACGCAGAGGGGTTGGGAAGATGTGGATGTGGATGTTGTTGTTGACATAGGGAGGCATTGGGTCGTTGGGTACTCCACCTGACAATGTTTTTGTTTTGATCACGAGTCGTCTCCTAGGCAGACGCGTCCAGTATCTGTTTACAAGGCGGTCGTGAACTCAGAGAACAAAGACATGGGTTGATATCAAAGACCAAGGCAAACAAGTTCGGAGGCGCTGAAATTTCGGAGTGAGCCTGGGTGACGTCCGGCAGAACGGTCGATCGCCAAGGCGGTGAGCCCGCCACGTTGCCATCGCCTTCCGAAGCTTACTTTCTATGACGGCACAGTGGCTAGGCAGTCATAATGAAGAGCCTGGCAAGGAATACGGTTGAAAGGGTTTTTTTTTTAATTATATACAGTTATGAGTAGATTCGCCTGGGTCCCAAAAGTTACATAGACCGGATATTTTCTCTTGCTCAGACTTTTACTACGGACGAGCTGAGATCGATACTCGATATATGTCATGTTATTGTCCTCAAGTCTCTATATATTTTAATTCTCGCTCAAAGCGGTATTCATTCAAAAAAAAAAGGAACGTGTTTACCACAGACAAGTACAATAAGCTGCGTCCCATTGAGCGACAGTGCTTTGACTTTGCTCTTACATGTAGAGTGAATGCTTGAAGATGCGAACATCTCACAACAATGACACAGGAGGAAGACAATGGACAATAATTTACACATTGGAAATCCGCGCAGATATCAGAAATAATATCTAGCTATAGAGAATACAACGCTGGAAGAGATGAATGCCCTCATGTCCAAACCTTGGATGCGAACCAGAGACCCTGCGAACACGGAAAAAGATAAAATGATCGAGAATTCTACAAGCTGATTTCGCCTTTCCAAGCTGCATCGAACAACCCGAGAGTCTCCATAAGGTTTTGCCACCGGGGGCCGCCTCGTTCCTTCCTTCTCAAGTATTTGAGAAGCTTCTGCCTCTTGTGTACTAAGAGTCGCAGGTTCCGCTTGTTGTGCTTGTCTCTCTTCCCGATCGTCTCCAGGTGCCTAGACAGGTTCAAGATCTTCGCGGTCAATATGGCGACTTGCACCTCGGGAGAGCCGGTGTCAGGCCCAGCTCGGGGTGTCTTTTCCGGATGTGATGATTGCACCGCGGCAGCTGGCTTTGGGGGAAGGAATTTGTCTGTGTTGTGTCGTCCGAATGTTTCAATGCACTTTTGGATAACCACCCTCAGGCGATCTTTCGAGTTCCCGTTGGAAAGACTGACGATGCGCTTAATGGCTTCTTGCGCATTGCGATGTTCCTGCAGGTGTCTCTCCGCAGCCTCCTTCTCCAGTTGAGGATCGGCCGTTTCTCGCACCGGGTTCTCAACGGGAGATGTAAGCTCTTTGGAGTACTCGAGGGCATCCTGGAGCTCCGGCCGACTGACGAAGTAATTGAGAGCATCGGATGGAGCGCCACCTTCAGTCGACAACTCATTCTGGGTCGACTGGGGGTTCTGAATTGCCTGGATGGACTGGATAAACGGAGTTGGTTTGCTTTTGACAGGGTCGCCTAACGCGGCTTCGCGCTCTTCGCGGAGGGTTTGCTGGCGGGACAAATTGGCGGCTTTGCGCTGCCGAGACAGAGCCATGAGGAAGGGGTCATGTTTCCTCCTTTCTCTGGCCTCAAAGGACCCGGCACGAATGGTGGTTTTGCATGGTTGAAGAGAGAAGGCCGACAACGGGCTCTGTACATGGGAAGAACCTGCAACCTCGTAGGTCAGCTCATGGCAGGAGCAGCTGGCAGGACCAGGAAATCATCATGGTCTCGAGCACATACCCGTAAAGGCCTTGAACGGCGACGAAAACGAGATGCGGGGCGGCATTGTGCAAGACCGCAGCGACTGTGTTCTCCCCAGGTCGTCCTTCTCCAGAACTTTTCTGGTCTCCTGCCCTGATTGCCGGCACGGGATCGAAATGTCCCTAGCCTGGATCGGGGCTAGCGCAACCCGTGACCTGCGCGCCGATCCGCGAAGTCTTGGCGCGCTGTTGCCCTAACCCACAACGCCGCAAGCGAAATTCTTCTATATCCGCGGCGTCAAAAGGACTCTCTCCGCGTCTCCGTCCTGCTTTTACTCCTCCCACGCATATCGACAAGCTAGGCGACACTGTCATCCAGTCGTTCGCACCGATCAGTCGTCCATCATGGCTCCCTCCAACCTGCCCCCGATCTTCAATCCCACCTCCCAGGACATTGAGATGCTGCTTGCAGCTCAATGCCACCTGGGCTCCAAGAACCTCCAGGTGCACATGGAGCCTTACGTCTGGAAGACTCGCCCTGACGGTATCAACGTGATCAACATTGGCAAGACCTGGTAAATATTTCACAGGCATCATTTGCGATCATTTTTCCTCTAACGGTAATACCAGGGAGAAAATCGTCCTCGCTGCCCGTATCATTGCCGCCGTCGACAACCCCGCGGATGTTGCGGTCATCTCCGCTCGTCCCTACGGTCAGCGTGCTGTCCTGAAGTTCGCCGCGCACACTGGCGCCACTGCCATTGCTGGTCGTTTCACCCCCGGTAACTTCACCAACTACATCACCCGCTCCTTCAAGGAGCCTCGCCTGATCGTCGTCACCGACCCCCGCACCGACGCCCAGGCTATCAGGGAGGCTAGCTACGTCAACATCCCTGTGATTGCTCTTTGCGACACCGACTCGCCCACCGAGTTCGTTGATGTTGCTATCCCCACCAACAACAAGGGCCGTCACGCCATCGGTCTCATCTGGTGGATGCTGGCCCGTGAGGTTCTCCGTCTCCGCGGAACCCTGGCCTCCCGCGACGTGGAGTGGGATGTCGTCGTCGACCTCTACTTCTACCGTGACCCTGAGGCTGAGGAGACCAAGGAAATCGAAGAGGCCAAGGCTGCTGGCGCTGATGAAGTTGGCCCTGCTGCCATTGAATCTGGATACGCCGCCGACAACTGGGATGTCCAGGGTGCTGGTGCTGGTGTTCCAGGCTCTGCTTTTGCTGCTGCTAGCGCTGTTGCCGCCGGCACCAGCTGGGAGGCTGACGGCGGTGACTGGGCTGCCAGCACTGGTGCTGCTGCTGGCGGTGAGAGCTGGGCTGCCGAGGCTCAGGCCAACCCTGACACCAAGTGGTAAACTTTTCACGGGGAGAGGAGCCTGCGAGGACGAAAGTTCCAATCGTTATAGAATTGGAGACCTGCAGAGAGGACGGGGACGTTTCTCAACATGGCGCACCTATCTAACAAAAATCGTGTGGACCCATTCCCAAAAAAGCATGATCCATTTCAACCTCAGCTCTTGACCTGTTTCCTTAAACTCAGTCAGAGGCCTAAAAAAAAGACATAAAAGGGAAAAGAAACATGAAAAAGAAAACATGAATTTGCACGTTAGGGCTACGATATGATTTGGTCTGATCATATGACATGTGTTGGGGGGAGGTTCCTTTGCCAATTGTTTTGACTGGCACTTATGAGGGAAAGATACCCAGTTTGCTCTCTCTCTCTCTTAGAGAGCTCTCTGGGGGAAAGCCCTGTGCTGTCAAAACGCAACGAGGTGGACTTAACCGTTGCCTCGGGGGAATCTCCCTTTGTATTGTAGTTAATATGTCTGTCTCCTTTTTTTAGACCTGAATCGGAAAGTATGCACCTGACAGTGAAGTTTCCATTCTAAGTAATCGTTGCGTTTTAAGTGTTCAGGACAGACATAGAGCATTGGTATCAATTTTTCCAGTAGATATGCGGTATATGGTATACCTCTAGTTTTGCAGAAGTGGGGGGCGTAGCCGTTCCTACTGAGATAGGGTACTGAGATAGGGTGATATATACGTAGTATACTTAAAAAAAAGACAAAGAACAAAAACTCGACAGCATCAGATTCTTTCCAAAATTCTCAGTCTTGTTCGAAACAGACATCAACTAGCACAGTTCCTGGCCATGACTCATTAACATTGCTTTCGATTGCTTTCGAAACCTATCATTGTCAAGGGTTGGGGGAGGGCAAACAGGAAAACAAAAAACGAACGAAACAGGGACATCCTATCAGTATTCCACATCGCGATACGTGAGATCGGGGTAATTCATCGTCTGGAGATCGGGAACCTCGTTCTCCCCTCCATCCGCATAAGGCCCCTCAGGCCAGATCTCCATCAGCGGCCAGGCCTCTTGCGGCGGCTCTTCGGGGGCTCTGTAATACAACTGGGGGATCTCGGGCGAAGGGTGGGTATGGAGTCGACCCTGCTGGTAGAAGCGCGCCTGCTCGGCCGCTCCGATGGCCGTCAGGAATGAGACGGTATTGAAGCGGCCGCTGCGCGTGGCTCGTTCTTCGTTGATGGTGGAAATCAGCGACTCGGGGAGACCCTTGGGCCCGCACTCGTGCGAGAACTGCAGCAGTCGCACAACGGTCTTCACCCAGTGGTAGACCTCGTCGAACCACATCGTCCCGATGTGCTGACGAAACTCGATCGTCCGCCGCGAGCGCTCCTCTGGATAGTGGTCGGATTCCCGGATCAGGTAGCCCAGATGGTATGCCGGGACGTAAGAGTCGTCAGTCTCGAGATAGGTCAGTGGGGTAGGCTCGTCGTGGTCCTCGAGTTTCATCCCCATCCACACCCAGTTGAGAGCTGTGAAATTGGTGCACCGGTCCAGGACCTCGGCGGCATTGCCTTTGTATGCGAGAAGTTGGCTTGGAAGCGCGCCGTAGCCATTGTGAAGCCGGGAAGGCGGGTGAATCGCATTCAGTTCCGGCTCGCACAGCGTCAGAAGCTGACAGAGGTTGCGAATCGTCTTCAGCGGGAAACCCCGACTGTACTTGTAGTCCTGGGTTCGAGGATCGGTGATGGCTCCGACATGGACGTGAAGGCCACATGTCTCATTGACAAAGATGTAGAACCTGCGGGTCACAGCGGTCAGCATACGGTGGATCTCCCAGAAGGAGTTGAACGTCGACGCCCTCGCAAAGCGCAATACCGGGGTGGTGATTTCGACTGGGGCATAGCCAAACTCACTGTTCGCGGGCAGCTTCGGCTTAATGCTGTCATCGAGCTTGACGGTCCAGAATCCGAGTTCCGGCGTGCCGGTTTCATAGTCGTTGACCTCGAAGCCGGCCTGGCGAAGGACTTCGATGACGTGCTCATGCACCGGTCCGACTCCGTACGTCTGTTTTTCTGGATCTGGCTGGATACCATAGTCAGCAAACCTGAATTTGATGATAAATTCAAATTCGACGCCGAATGTGTAGTAAAGGGGGTAGTACTGGGACGAGACGTGCAAGCCAGGCGGCACGGAAGCCATTTTCGCCAGTCGTCCTTTTGAAAACAGTCGGGATCTGCGTGGATAATGGTTAAAGCTTGGTGAGTATATATCTGGGTCAACGTATGACCATTATCTGGAGAGAGATTAAATCGTAGGAAATGGGCGTCGAAGTTATATAAGATATATAATTAAACGACGGACAAAGGGCTGGGAAAACAAATGGCTATCTCCGTCAAATTCGAGCAGTCATTGCTTCATTTTGGTGTATTTAAAGGCCCCATGATCCCGGAAAGATTGAACAATGGGACAAAGAAGTCGTGGACGTCCATGTTGCCTCCCTCATAGCCATTATTGAAACAAGAGAGGCAAGGACAAAGAGGCTTTGATCTCTCTTCAAGCTGCGAAACTAGCATGGGGTGAGCTCTAATTAACCGACAGTATTATGCAGAAAAAAAAAAGGTCATAAGTTTGGCAGAAACACCCATCAATGCGTGTAGATGAAACAGATACCATGGTCAAAGGATTGTACAGCCGCCTGCACTCTGCCCTCCGCTGGCTGTGGTGGTCATTGCTGCAGTCTTTGCAATATCTTCAAAGGTTTCAGCCATAAGCTCCCCTGTAACGGCAGAGCATTCCGCATAGCAGTCACAATGGAGCTCTTGAGCAATGCGGTAAGACTGGATATTTTGTCAGTATCTTCGAAATACAGCTCCAGCAAACAAAAAAAACGTAAGAAATAAATCCAAAGGAGAAGAAAAGGGTAACTGGCCTCCTGAGGATAGATTATATTATCGTTCTCTTCTCTGAGGTCCCGTTTGAGACCTATGATCATAACAGGAATACGTTCGCCTGCTCCACTTTGGAAATATCGGGTGATATCATTGCGCCACTAAAAGTTGATTTTTTTTTCTCGTGTTCAGCAGACTGAGACAGAAACTGGTTCAGTTATTGTATTGTCTACTTACCCCTTTCAATCCATCTAGAGTTGCTCTGTTGGATATATCAAACGCCAATAGAACAACGTCAGGCTGCAATGTTGTCCAGTGCTGGTTAGGGCTTGCCGTGTCGTAAAACTCCAGTCTGAATGACTTCTTTGAAAACCGGATATCATAGACAAACGGTTGATTGCTGTCATGGAGGAGCTGCAAAGGCTCTTTTGGTTCCCCTTTTGCTTGAGATGGCGGGCTTGGTTTTAGAGTCTTCAGCCGACTATTCCAGAGAATATAGTCAGTTACAATAGTTGAATACTAACATTTCCGCAAAAGGATGGGAAATGGCAACGAAAATACGTGAAAAATAGAAACGAGAAATATCTCACTATATGAAAGCATATGCAGATGAAAGAGTGGGCGCTGATATCGCAAGGAAATGGGATACCTACGATAAGAAGGTCGACTTACCACAACCCGGATCTCCGAGGAGCAGGATGGTAACAGTCGCCTTCTCACCCGTCTCGTCCATGATGGACGATAGGACGCTAAGTCCGTCAAGTTATTCTGAATGCAGCCGAAGGAGTTATTGTGGACATAGCAAGCTTGAAATTGCAGTATATGGATGTGTTCCAGATGATCAGCGACAGCGGTAGTCGATCAGTGCACTCTTTACGTTACAATACAGAATAAATTACAACACCGACCAAACTGTAAAATTTCTGGATCGCGGCAAAACTCGAGATCACCGATTACCACAACTGGATTCACACCAGGAGTCCTCTGCTGATTAGCTAGAGGGGATGTGGCGGTCCCATAGGAGATTGTCGAGAATCAGCCGCATCCGAGAAACGTTCTTGCCAGCAGAAATACCACGCAATTTGTCCTTCTCCTGCCACTGGCAGGGTCCGAAATCCGTCTCCTCCAAAGCTGATACTGATAATAAATCTACTACTATGTCGCAAGCCGACACACGGGGTTCCGAACCACGACCTGATTACTCGACCTGGAGCACATCGCGCCTTATTGAGCGCATCACGGAACTCGAGCGTCAGCTGCATTCCCAGACAGCTCAATTCTCCGCAGCTCGTCCTTCGACCGAGAACGATGCCGTGCCTTCCCCCCCCCCTCCCTCCTCCTCCCCCCGTCCAAACGAACACCGTCTCCGCGGAGTCGACAGACGTGAAATCGAAAACGGAGAGCAGCGTACCTCCACCGTCTGATGATTTCACGCGGGTGCGCTCGCCAACCCGTACCGCAAAGAAAGAGGCCCGGGAGATTGATCCTTCTAAATACCACACCCGTTTCATCGCGCTCAAGTTCGCCTACTTGGGTCAGCGATACAATGGGTATGAGCACGCAAACGGGAACGTGACGCCACTGCCTACAATTGAGGAAGAGCTGTGGAAGGCCTTGCGCAAAGCGCGTCTTATCTTCCCCACGACGCCCTCGTCGTCGACGGATGACTTCGACGACTCTGAGCCAAGGGGGAACCGGCCCTTCACCATCAACTGGGAGGGCTGTGACTACTCCAAGTGCGGGCGCACGGATCGAGGAGTGAGCGCTTTTGGGCAGGTTATCGGTATCAGAGTCCGGAGCGCGCGGCCCAAACGGTCACCTACGAGTAAAAATTCTTCTAGTAAACAGGAGCGTTTGACACAGCAGAGCACGTCAGACGCGACCGCTGTCAATTCTCAGCAAAATATAACAGTCAAAGACGACTCCAGCGCCCTTACGAGCTCTGGGGTAGAAGATAACCATGACTCTAATCCAGAAGATGATTGGGACGACATTGCGGACGAGCTACCCTATGTACAAATTTTGAATAATCTCCTCCCAGAAGATATCCGAGTGCTGGCATGGTGCCCTCATCCTCCTCCCGGCTTCGATGCTCGCTTCTCCTGTCGCGAACGTCGGTATAAATACTTTTTCACACAGCCTGCTTTTTCGCCTACCCCGGGCCCGTTGGGCTTCGTCAAAGGCGCTGCAAAAGACCGCAATTTCAGAGAAGGCTGGTTAGATATTGAGGCTATGCGTGAAGCCATGAAACACTTTGTGGGTGTTCACGATTTCAGGAACTTCTGCAAAGTGGACACCAGCAAGCAAATCACCAACTTTGAGCGCATAATTTACCATGCGGATATTGAGCTCGTTGATCCGAAAACTCACCCACTGGGATATGTGGGAGAAGCCGGATTTCGGGCCTTGGAAAACGGCACCGATTCGGACAAGCCCGCAGGGTCAGAGGGTCATCTGCCCTCTACGCCGCTGGTATATGCTTTCGATATCCGCGGATCTGCTTTCCTGTGGCACCAGGTCCGTCACATGGTTTCAATCCTCTTCTTGATCGGCCAAGGCCTTGAGTCACCATCTATCATTCCTGAATTGCTGGACGTGTCGAAAAACCCACGAAAGCCGACATATGAAATGGCGTCCGATGCTCCCCTTGTTCTATGGGATTGCATCTTTCCCGACGAAAAGAGTGGTAGCCGGGAGGATGCGCTGGAATGGGTATATGCAGGCGATCTCAGGATGTCGAAATCGTCGAAATCGAAGTCGTCCAGTAAAGGAGATGGCAAGTACGGTCTGGGAGGTGTTGTCGATGGCCTGTGGTCTGTCTGGCGGCAACGCAAGATGGATGAGATTCTTGCAGGAGCATTACTCGATTTGACTGTGAGCCAGGGTGACCGCAGCGTCGTCACCCGGGATCCGCCGACAAAGCTACCACGCAGTCAGAAGGTCTTCTACGGTGGGAATGAAGCGAAACTAGGGGGCAAATATGTCCCTGTGATGGAAAAGAAGAAGCTGGATCCCGTAGAGGTCCTCAACGCGAGATACCTCGCAAGCAAGGAACGCAGAGCAGAGAAGAGTGTGGACGATGGCAATGAAGAAATGTAGACATACCATCATAGAATATCTATAAATACTAAGTTCAAGAACGCGAAACTGATGAGCGTTTCATTCCTTAAAGTCTTGCCTCTACTACCCATGGAGTGACACTGATTTGGATTCGTAGAGACATTGACGAGCGCCCCTCCAGACTTCTTCAAGGATCGTTCGCTTTGGTAGAAGGTTCTGTTGGGCTTGGTTAGGACTTGCTCGGATAGTAAGAGGACGTTCAATGCTTACCGGAAATACGACCACAACATCGGGTTCGCCCTCCACGATGATAGCCAGGTAGAAACGCACTTCAAACCCTTTGAAGGCCTCATGGATGACAATATCTTGGATTTGTGTAGTTGGAATAAATCTCGTCGCAGCACTTGACCAGTACATTGAAGAGGACGTAGACGTCTGGACTCCCAAACCACGAATGACGAGAAGTGATTCCTCTGCGCAAGTCAATCCAAGTCAGCCACCGCCATCTCTGCAGCAGCTGGGCATTTTGCAATGGCACAAACACACCAGTATATCCCTTTCGCCATACTGCATAAATCAACAAGGCACTCACGCCTGCGATAATTGACCAGCCATATCGATCTGCAATGCGACAGGCAAAGGAGCCCAGAGAAGTCGACCACACATCGCTCCCCAATCCGAGAAACCCATTTTCGGCGAGTAACGAGTGACGAAGTTTAGCTGCGTCGACCAACAGGACGAAGATAAAGACGAGAATGCGCAGAAGAACCTCCGCACAAAACGCAAGCTTAGCGGGCCATGTGTGACGCGAGGGAGCGTTGGAAACGGTAAAACAAACCGTCGTGGGGGATGGACGACGGACGGTGAGGCGTGCTGGCATTGAGACTACCACGATGCTGTAGAACGTAGAAATGCAACCAGTCTTGGGAGCGCAGCCATCCTACCTCTAGGTAGGGGAGGACCTTGCGCGGTTGATGCTCTGCATGCTCTCGCAGAAAACAGGTTTACCTGTAGGGCGTTATTTGGTTGGGCTCAATCATCATTAGAGACGCCGGAGTCCGAGCTTGGCTGCTGGGCGGCCCAGTCCCTGGCCAGATTGGGCCGCCGCCATCACGTGTGCGGAGGCTGCCAGCTTCTCCGACAGCTAAGACATTCTCGCTCACCAAGCTCCCCAGCTCTTTCCCTGAGCTGTCCCCAAGACAGACTGCTCCTGCCGTTCCGATATTCCTCCTGGGATTACGATCCGTAACTTCTACGGAGCCGCTTTACTGTTCTCTTATTGCCCGCACGGTGTTTGCGTTCCCAACCAGCACACCATGCCACGGTCACGATCGCGATCGCGATCCCCTCGAATGGAGGAGCGCAGGCGGAGTAGGTCTCCAGATGGTGACAGGGATAGGCCGCGGAAAATCCATAGTGGCTTCCGGTGGAAAGATACAAAGCGTCGCGATGACAGCAGATATGCAGACGACGACCGCAGACTGGAACGGGGTTACAGAGACAGAGATCGACCACGGTCGCCACGTCGGGACAGAGATGGGGATAGGTACGGAGACAGGTATAGGGACGGTGCCCGTGACCGGAGGCGTGACGACAGGGAAGGACGTCCCCTCCATGATCGCGAGAGGCACCGAGACGAGGACCGCAAGCCGAAGCCGAAGGAGAAGAAGCCGGCAGCGACACAGCCGTCAGAGCCTATGATTGTCGTACATGTCAATGACCGCCTGGGAACAAAGGCTGCTATCCCGTGCCTGCCTTCAGATCCAATCAGTGAGTGCACCAAAAGGCAGCGGCATTTATCACGAGATGGAGCAATGCTAATCGTTTCGATTCTAGGACTCTTCAAGGCTCAGGTTGCCGCGCGCATCGGGCGTGAACCACACGAAATACTGCTCAAGCGGCAAGGAGAACGCCCATTCAAGGACCAGCTGACGTTGGAGGATTATGGAATTAGCAACGGGGTCCAGCTTGATCTGTGAGCCACGACCCTCCCCCTTTCGAAGCGCTTCCCTCTGCGTGATGGCGTTGCGCATTGGGATTGGTGACAGATGCTGACTATGTGGCTGCAGGGAGGTCGATACAGGCGATTGAAGCACGAGCTCGGCAGCTCTGTTGTTACTCGCTCAGCGGACCCGGGCGGCCGCTGCAGCTTCAAGGTGCAGGCCTACGGCATTATTGCGTTACAATAGTCTTCTTTGTTTCTTTTTTCATGTGTCTCATGGGACTGTTATGGGATCTGGCGCTCAAAAGTTGGCTCTTCTCGGGGGTTTGTTATGTATCTACCAGCGAACGGACTGAATCCACATTGTAACGCAAGTATCCATGCCAGCCAGCATCTTGTGATTGGGCCCCGGCCTCCCTCGATGCCCGCACCGCACCTGCTAGCTGCTTATGTTCACTTGCTGGCGCCTGCTGGACTCTCCCCTTCGTGCTGATTCTTTTTTTGTTCTCGTGGTGCGGGGAGTGTTTTCGCCGCCTTGCCTGTTTCGGCCCGGGCGCCATAGCTACCGTTTTTGGACGCTCGTGCCGACCTTCGGCGATGAGCCAAGCCTGACAGGACGGTTCCACTCTTCTGGATCAGTCTTTTTCTCCATCGCGGCTCACACGACCGAGTCCTCCAATTCTTCTTCATTTCGATGCTTGCGCCTCTTCCTAGTTACCTCAACCCCCTCTTTGTTGACTATCGTCCGCAATTCCCACCATGAGGTAGTGGTTCCGCGGGGATTTTGGATGCAGAATTCTTGGCCGCATCTCTCCACCGGCGATCGCCCGAGACTTTTCCCATAATCCACCTACCCTCTTACCTCCCCACACCCTTGCCTCTCTCGCCCTTCACCACTTTCACGACCTTCTGCGACCTCGAAAAAGTTTGCTTAGCCATGGTCAGAAACATCGTTGTCATCGGGGGCACCTCCCATCCGCGACTGACTCAGACTATCTGCAACCACCTTGGTATCCCTCCGGCTAATGTGCTACTGTCGAAATTCTCCGTAGGCGAGACCAGAGTGGAAATACAAGAGTCCGTCCGAGAAAAAGATGTCTACATTATCCAATCTGGAGGGGGGAAGGTCAATGACCATCTGATCGAACTGTTGATCACCATCTCAGCCTGCAAAACCGCCTCTGCCAAAAAAGTAACCGCTGTTCTCCCACTGTTTCCCTACTCGCGCCAGAGTGATATTCCTTACAACAAGAGCGGTGCGCTGCTCGCCAAGTCGTCTCTTCAACAATCATACACGTTTGACAGCACACCGCCAACCCCGCACCCAGGGAAGCCAGAAAGCCAGGGCTTGGTGAATGGTGTCGAAGGTCTTCAAAAGAGCCTCGCGAAAGCACAACTGGAGGATTCTGACGCCAATGCAGTCAATGGTACCTCGCCCGTCAAGCGTCGCCCCATTGGAGATGGAGGCAAGCGCAGTGATACCCTCGACTCTACGCGGTCAGATGCCAGCATTCCCAACGGTGTGAGCAATGACGACAATGCTAGCGTCACTTCAGCCTCTCCGAAAATCCCGGTCTTTGAGCCTCGCCCTGGATATCGGCAGTGGGTTGCGCAGGCAGGCACCTTGGTCGCCGATTTGCTTACGTGTGCCGGTGCCGATCACATCATCACGATGGACCTGCACGATCCCCAGTACCAAGGATACTTTGATATCCCTGTCGATAATCTCTATGGGCGGCCTCTTCTGAAGAGGTATATCCAGCGGCATATCCCCGACTATAAGAATGCCATCATCGTGAGCCCTGACGCTGGTGGCGCGAAGCGAGCCACCGCCATCGCCGACTCCTTGGGCATGGAATTTGCTCTCATTCACAAGGTGAGACCTTTTATTGTCTTTGCCTGCTTGTTGTATCTAATTTTGCAAAGGAACGCCGCCCCACCAAGATTACAGACCGTCAGAACGCGACCATGATGCTAGTAGGAGATGTCCGGGATCGGATCGCCATCCTGATCGACGACCTGGCGGACACGTCTAATACTATCACTCGGGCGGCGAAGTTGCTGAAGAAAGAGGGAGCTTCGCAAGTCTATGCCTTGATTACACACGGTATCCTCAGTGGCGATGCGATCGAACGGATCAACGCGAGCGCACTCGACAAAGTCGTGGTGACGAATACCGTTGACCAAGAAGAGCACCGCCGACGCTGCCCCAAGCTCGAAGTTCTTGAAGTGGGGAACGTATTCGCTGAGGTATGATTCCTGACCTGTGCTTTCATCGTGGCTCCCCTGACATTTTCCAGGCTATTCGACGTGTGCATCATGGTGAGAGTATCAGCGTCCTGTTTCAATACGACTGAGCTCTAGCATGGGAGCTCACGCCCTGTAACTCCCTGTCAATATATAACCACCGGAGCAGTGTTGGACTTAGGGAGGGTAAGCAACACAGAAAACGATGGCCTCTTGGACCATTTTTGATATCATCGTATACTCAATCTCATCTTCGGAGTGGCAATCTCACTGCCGGAAACTATCCGAAATCCGAAAACATGTTCAACTGTGACTAAAAAATCTGCCTTTTTTCTCCTTACCACTTCTTTCTTGTCCTTGATCAATTAGGTCACTTTAGAAGAAGAAGAAGCACGAGCCTCGAGAAACAAAAAATTTATAAATAAAGCCAGAACGATGACACTGACATGACCAAGTGCTGGTTTCTTGTCTTGCCTTTCGTTCTCCAATGGCAATCAATTTTCTTTTTTTTTCTATATAGTTACTGTCCTCATGACGGTTGAATATTTTTTTTTCTGGTCTGTAGCAGTAGTCACGTTACATCTATCAATCAATTCAGTCAATCAATCATAAAATGGAGACGGGGAAAAAGAAAATTAATCCTTCATATCCTAACGCCCACCTGGAGAAGACAAAAAAAAGAAACAAGCTATAAAGATCAGATCAATGGTGCGGCGGGTATGCACTCCGATACATACAATAAATAGGTCATAGACAGAAAATAAAGGGCCTTGGACTTTAAATGGCTTCGTTGCCCGAAAAGGCATGGAGGAGGAAGATGGAGAGAGAGGAAATATAGGAGAGGAGAAGGAAGTGGGAAAGGGAATCGTGACTAGAATACGGAAATGTAGTTTCCTATCCTCTCCTTTTGATGCTGTGCAATGCACTCCGCAATCCAGGTGATGTTTCGAATTTCCTGCAATCGAAAAAATCAGCATGTTTTACTACCAAATCGTATACCAGGATGATGGAGGGAGGGGAGAGCTTACCTGCTCTCTCAACTTCACCCATGCGTATATCACGGCCGGGGTAAATTGCCGTGTGAATGCAACCTTGCACATCTCCATCTCTTTCTGGTAGAAAAGATCCTCCAAACTCTTTCCATCAGCGCTGCCCCCGCCAGCGATGTTGCCCAGCCCACCGGGTCCACCCTGACTTAAACCGACAGCATCGAAAAACGCCTTGTATTCAGAAACACCACTGACTGCAAGAGCAACGGACTCGACATCATCTGCCCTCGAAAGCATCAGTGACCCCTCCGGATACAGCTTCCCAAACTCTGGGTACAGCCTCTTCCGCTCCTGCTTCGACAGCTCCGTTCCGAACGAGTTGAGTGTGATGTTGATAGCACGGCGGTCGGCCTCGAATTCCAGGATTTCGGACATGACCTCCTGCGTGGGAGTTCCCTTGAAGTCTGGGTGCGTGTTGACAAAGTTATAGAAGTCTTCCAGGTAATTCTTGTACAAGGTGTTGCGGACGATCTCAATGTTCAGTTCATCGAGATCCTGATGGCTGAGACTGCCTTTGAAGTATGGTGCCAGTGGTGTCTCGATCAGCACGGAGTTGTACAGCTCCTCGATATTGGTCGCCACGCACAGAACGGGCATGGTCTCAAACCAGCCCAGGGGATGGCAGCGCTCCAGCAGCTCTCGGGTGTCCCGTTCATGCAGAGTGCCCGTAATCAACAAAGCGATGTTGTCAATCATGTATCCGTACGTCAAATACTCCATGAACTTGGCGATTGAGCCCGTTGCCTGCGCCTGGACGTAACGGAACTCGGCCACCAGCTTGTCCGTCATCTTGCCCGCGAGGGCAGAGGTCGAGGGATTGGGAGGCAGCGAAGCCAGAAAGTCCCCATAGGCAGGGGCCAGTTGCAGCTTGACATCTATATTTGACAGACATCAGAGTTATGCAATTCAGAGAAGAGCACGGAGTTGCAAGACAGAGACCAACCATCTATCGTCTCGCATTGGGTCAAGTTGGCATAGTGCTGGCTGGTGAGGAGGCTGTTTCGATAACCGCGGACAATGCCTTCGATATAGCTGCCCAAGTCGGTAAGCACACGATCCTGCCGCTGGGTGAGAGAGTGACATACCCGCCATTCACATTAAAGAACAGGCCCTCCATGGTGGATGGTGATGGGCTCTTGAAGCGCTCGAGATGGCAGTCCAGCCTCCGCGACGTTGCCCGCAGCTCAGTCAGTTGGAGCCACTGCCCGTCCCGTGGAGCTCGGAGCGGGTGGCATTATTACGTAAGCCGCCCGCGGCAGCCACTCACGCGCCATCTCGCTTTTTACCGCTCGACTCCAACGTCGAAATTTGAGCGAGTAAAAAAAAAGTCGAGAGCTCCCACTGTCCGGCCGCAGTTGCGCCTTCCCGCCAACTTCATCCGGCCTCCTGCCTCGCGCCTGATCCTGGCTCGCTGTTTCCTTTCGTCAAGCAGTGGACAGCTGAGAGTCGTCGTTGCCCACAATGACGCTTTTTATTCTTACCGAGACCAGTGCAGGCTATGCCCTGCTGAAGGCCAAGGACAAAAAGCTCCTCAAGCGCGATGATTTGGCCACCGAAACCGCAACTGCTGAAGGAGTCTCCAATCTGTGAGTATCCCCTGTGTCGAGAAGTGTCGCCTAAAATTTTTTTCTGCCCTCTATACTATTTGTCGATGTGTTGGTGGATGTACTGCATGCGCCAAATTTTTGATTGCATATTTCCCCGGGACGAATTTTTTTCTAACATCATACAGGCTGAAGCTGAAGCACTTCCAGAAGTTCGACAGTGCGGCCACCGCCCTTGAAGAGGTTGCTGCTCTTATTGAAGGCAAAGTCACGCCTCGTCTGGCCAGCTTGCTTGACTCCATCAAAGACGAGAAGAAGGTGTCGTTGGCGGTTGCTGATCCCAAACTTGGTACGACAGCCCTTGTTCCTCAACATTCCTAGTTTTGCCTGCTTTTGAATACGATACTAACCATTCGTGTAGGAAATGCTATTGGGAAGCTTCCTGGGCTCTCGATCCAGCCCATTGCCGACTCCTCCACCACAGACCTCTACCGCGCCATCCGGGAGCATCTACCGACGTTGATCCCGGGTCTGGTTCCTGAGGACATGTCTGCCATGTCACTTGGTCTGTCCCATTCCCTCGCCCGACACAAACTGAAGTTCTCTCCGGACAAGATCGACACCATGATCGTTCAGGCGATTGCGCTCCTGGACGACCTGGACAAGGAATTGAACACATACGCCATGCGTGTGAAGGAGTGGTACGGGTGGCACTTCCCGGAAATGGCGAAGATTGTCAACGACAATATTGCATATGCGAAGGTGGTTCTGAAGATGGGCATGCGGTCAGACTGGGAGAAGGCTGATCTCGCCGAGATCCTTCCTGAGGAAATTGAAAATGCCGTCAAGAACGCGGCTGATCGCTCGATGGGTACGGAGATCAGTGTGGAGGATCTGGAGAACATCCAGGCCCTGGCCGAGCAAGTCGTCAGCTTTGCTGAGTACAGACAACAGCTTGCGAGCTATTTGTCGGCCCGTATGACGGCTATCGCCCCTAACCTGACTGCCCTCGTTGGTGAGCTGGTTGGTGCACGGCTGATCGCTCATGCCGGAAGCTTGATGAACCTGTCCAAGAGCCCTGCCAGTACAATTCAGATTCTGGGTGCAGAGAAGGCTTTGTTCCGCGCCCTGAAGACCAAGCACGACACTCCTAAATATGGTCTCATCTACCATGCCTCTTTGGTCGGACAAGCCACGGGCAAGAACAAAGGAAAGATGGCTCGTATACTCGCAGCTAAGGCATCTCTCGGTCTTCGTGTGGATGCCCTTGCCGATTGGGATGATGACGCTACAGAAGAGGACAAGGCTGCCTTGGGTATGGAGGCCAGATACAACCTCGAGAGGAAGTTGGCTGCGATGGAGGGCAAGCCTCTGAAGCCAAGAGGTGTTGCCATTGCTCCTAATGGCGTCACTACACAACCTAAGAAGTTCGAGATTAGCGCGACTAGGAAATACAACGCGGATGCTGATGCTGTTGCTGGCGATGAATCTGCCTCATCGAAGAAGGACAGGAAGGACAAGAAAGAGAAGAAAGAGAAGAAGTTGATCGAGGAGGTCAAGTCGCAATCTGAGTCCGAAGATGAGGAGATGGCCGACGCGCAGTCCGATGAAGACGAAGAGATGGAGGACAAGCCCAAGACCAACGGCGACGCGCACGAGGATGAATCCTCTGACTCCGAGGAGGAGGAGGAGAAGGACAAATCCAAGGACAAGAAGCAGAGTGATGTGGAGAAAATGGCCGAGAAGGCCGGTCTCAGCGTCAAGAGATATCAACGGAAGCTCGAGCGCGGCGAGATCAAATTTGACGCCAATGGTAACCCCATCGTTATCAGCAAGAAGGAGCTGAAGAAGCTTAGGAAAGAGGCCAAGAAGGCTGCCAAGGCCGAGGGAAAGAAGCGAAAGAGGGAGGAAGAAGGCGATGAGGCGGGCAAGGCCGAAAAGAAGAAAAAGAAGAAGAACAAGGAGTGAATCAAAAATAAAAAAAAGCTATTCAAAAAAAGAAAAAAAGTCAGGAAAAATGGCTTGATTGCTGTATGATATCTGTTCTGTTGTTCTTTTGTCTGTTTTAATTCTTCGGGTGGCATTTGGGGCAAGATTTGCTGGTCCATTCTACGGCGCAAAGGTGCTTGTTGGCATATGGCAGTGTAGTACTTAGCCGGACAATACGATGTTTATAGTTCTTGGATTGAAGATTAGAAGAAATCCTTTCTCTGGCTTCTTTCGTCTGACAAGACCTCTTCCAAAAGAAAAAAAAAAGCAAGTTAATACCTTTTTTTTTTCATTCATTCCACTCAAAATTTCTGTACATACACCCAAGTAATGACCCTTTCCCGCAAACAACGCCCATCCTCCTATGCTATGCTATGCTAGAATACATTGAAATAAAAACAAAAAAAAAAGGCTGCAACGCAATATGCGGACATAAATATATAGAACGAGTATGAAGAAACATTACACCGGAACTAAAAACTAAAAAACCCAACTACCCGTAAATATGCAAGCTGAGAAGAAAGAAACAAGAAAGCAAAAGAGTTACTTTTTCTTTTCTTTTCTTTTCTTTTCTTGCAAGTTTATCACCTATCCCGTTTTCCCAACGTTTCCCGAATAATGGCCAATATTGCCGTGATGTCTTCATTTGAGAGTCTCTCCTCGCGTTCCTCGATGACGGTATCTAGCAGCGCTCGGGCGCCGTAGTCGTCGTCTTCTTGGGTCACTGCCTCCTCCTCCTGGCCTTCCCCGGCACCGCCTTCAGGTTCAGCAGTCTCGGCAACAGCGCCGCCGCCGCTGACGTCTTCGCCATTCTCCATTGCTTCGGCGTTGGTTTCTTGGTCTTGGGTGGTGGTGTTCTGTGGCTGGGTCGTCTGGCTCGGTTTGTCCAGTCCAATGCCCAGGTTGATGATCATGAGGACTTCGCCCTTTGTGAGGCCGTAGGGCTGCAGCTTTGTGATCAACTCCCGGATGGCGATGTCCATTGGAGTGGGCTCTGTTGGTTGTGGTGAAGGCCGGAGTTGTACCGCTTGTTGTTGTTGATCTTGTTGTTGTTGCTGCTGTAACCGTTGAAGAGTCTCCTCGTGGACGTAGCGGGGATAGTTGAGGAGGTGAGGTGATATCCGGTGGACATAGTTATGAATCTAGCGAGAATGATAAATAATTAGCAGAGATCCTTCTGATTGCATCTAGAAAGCCGGCCAAAGCAATCCCTATAACAAAACCCCCGAATACATATAAAGGCGGATGGATGATAGGTCTGCAATATCCTTTTCGGAACTCATCACTACTCACCTCTTTAACGACTGTATTATGATCCCGCAGATCTGGATTGGGAACCCAGTGCCGGGAGTTCGGAGGAGGGTTAGGAGGTCGTCTGGGAGGGTTGGCCGTGAGGTAAGCCAGCACCTCGATGTTGGTCAGTGTTGCGGATTGAGGGTCGATGACCTGCGTTGCGAGTTGGTTGTTAATTAACCACAGAGACTAACTAATGGATTTGCAAATGTTGTGTGTAGCAGGCTCACCTTCATTGTTGTCTAAGGAAACAGATCCCTGGCCAGAAACGATGATTGTGTCAAAAAATATTTGTACTAATGACCAGGTAGGTAGTGCTGTAGTCGAGTGTGATATGCGGGGCGGAGGGGAACTGAAAAGGTTGAATTTGCCGGCAGAAAAAGCTAGGGTGTGGGATGGGACAAAGGCGGTCTGCATTATTAGACTTTGTAATGCGGCGTGCAAGTTGCCTAAAGGTGACAGTGATAATCCACGCCTGTACGGAGTAATAATATCGCTTCATAGATTAAGTTGATGATGACGAATTGCATTTTCAGAGCCGCGACCCTGCAGGGCTCTCTGTTGTCCCTATATCGATATTTTGGCGCTCTCTAATATCTTGCCATTCCACAACTCCCTAAGATGAGGATTCTTGTGGCATGATGGGGCCCAAAGAAGAAGAAAAAAAATATTAAACAGGGGGAAAGGACGAAAAAAAAAGCCTGCCAACGCAGGCAGAACGGAAACATCAGTGACCAGACCAGATAAGGCCCCGTCCAGGGACCAATGGTATGAAAGAAGTCAATTGAACGAGAAAACCGCCAGGTCTCGTTTTTTCAAAGTCACACACCCCCACGCCGAACTAATCCCGTTAACAAGAAATGGCAGGTATGAAAGAATGAGTAAAAAGAAGACATCTAAAAAAGAAAGCATTATTGTACAGAGGAAAGAAAAGCCCAAACAAAACACACACACAACGCCAATCGAAGGCTGATAGCCGCAGTGCTTTTGATTCATCCAACAAGACCCTGGGAGATCACGTAGAAAAAAGAGAAAGAAGACATCGAGAAAAAGAATAGATAAGAAACCGTTCTTGAAGGGGATCAAGCGGATGAAGAAGAACGAGGCCAGATATCATCGCCAAGGATCCTCCTGATAATGATAAAAACAGAGGAGCCTGGTTACTTTCCTTGGTTTCCAGCCTCCTTATTTTGCGCCTCTTCCAGGTTCGGCGGTCCTTTGCCCGAGATCAGAATCCCCCATTGATTATAGATCGGTTTTTGAAATATACCGCCGTCCTCCTGGCCCCAGGCACCTAGACCGTCGTCAAAAATCTTCTCCTCAAATCCACTGCAAAGATCTTCGAAATCCATCCACTCGTCATAATTAGTCCACACGCCTCCAATCCCACCTCGTGCGTCCCACCAATCCGAACCCCCCAACAGCGATGATTGAGAAGCAACACGACCGCGGGCTGAGCGGATGTATTTGCGGAGGAGGGCACGGGACCACGGGTGAAACCACATATTCGACCACCACTCTGGACGGACCGAGGGGTCGCCGTTCAAATGAATGGTGGCAGGGACTGCGGCTGAGTGGACGTTGGTCATCAACGGGAGAGTCTCCCACGTCATATTCATAGGATGGGGGAGAGAGTCGACAGTCTCATTGATGGGAGGCTTGACAGCCTCACCTGGAGCTCGTGCCGGTTGTGTGAAAGGATTTGGTGCCTTCTCCTGGATATCGGCCGGAAGAGTGAGGCGAACCTCCCTTGGGACTCCGTGTCGCGCCTGGACGGTGGATACCTGCGAGATGTTGTTGTATTTGACCCATTCCACGTCGTTTCTGGAGTTCTTCATGGTGAAGAACAGCTGAGACTCGTAGTCAAGCCCGATGCCAAACTCATATCGTTGTCCCGGCTCGAGGCGAAGATAAACGTTGGTGATATTGGTGGCTTCAGAGATGCCGATCATATCCCGAAACCACTCCTTCAGCCAGCTGCTGGTCCTCCTTCTTTCGAGTTCCCTCACATACTCCTGCGTCCCGTACAGCCGTGACAAAACCATCTGGTCACCGTGACGATTTCGATGATGCAACACATACTCCAGAACCCTTTCGTAGATGGGTAATAGGTCTGCGGCTTGCCCCATCACAGCGCCAGAATCTAGCCATCGAGGCCTATTCCGTTGCCCATCCCGCTGGATATCTGTCTTCGGCCCGTATACATCAGGAGGTAATGTAGATCCTGGTACACTCACGCAGGCGACATCATCTGGGTGGTTCGGAAAGCATTCCTTGCTCGCTGCAAATATCACCCTCTGAGAGTATTTCTGAACCACTTCTTTGGATCCTTTATCAGGATTTTCAACGACCACCACACCGTACTTTTCCTTCAGCTTCTGGTTATGCTTTTCGAGCGTTGTGTGAAAGCGTTGGATCAAGATTTCCGGGGGCAACTGAAAGAAGGTATCGCTGCCATCCACAATCAAGACTAAATCTTTTTCATTGACTCGCTTGCTGTTCCTCAGGAAGGAGACGATTCCCTTAATCTGGGCTACCACAGCGTCATGAGCAGTAGGAGGCGACGAGAAATCAGGCAAGGATTTGATGACAGTTGGAGGCGGGTAATTCAGGATCATAGCAGAGGTGACGGTCTGGCAGAGACCAACGTTCTTCTCGACTGCCGGCATGAGGATGTGGAAAGAGGGATTGGTTTTCTCCAGTCTACTTGGCAGTGTACCGTCTTCCCCGACCGGCGGGGCCTCGTGGGAAATGACACTTAAGTCATCTGGCGGTTGTGACACAGGAAGAGACTGATATTGAGACCAATAATCGGATACCGTACCATCCTTAAAGCACTGTCAGCGTGGTGGCCCTTTGCGATGGCGAAAATGAGCTCCGAACGGGGCTGCGGCGATCGCAAACTTACCCCTCCAGACCCGCGCGATAGGAAGAAAATAAAGCACAGAGCAATCGCAGTAGTAAGAAATATAATCCTCAGGATGCGGGTTCTCGGGCGACGGAAGTGGATCTGACGCAGTGGTGAGCTGGGATTACCGTGGAGTCGTTGATGCTCCCAGTCAGTCTGCAATGTAAGTCGGGGCATCTTGAAGACCTATTCGCCCAGCGGCGACGGTGGAAGAAGCGAGTTGAATATCCTGTCGCAATCGTAGACAGCATAGGTTAGCGGACCTGAATACTTTTTCTCTCCCTTCAATGAGAGGTCCTCGTTGGGGGAATCCCAATGTGCTCACCTCACGGTCTTCCAGGTCGCAACGTCATCAATAATCTCGAGGCCCCATGATCTGTCCGATGACTCCGATCCTGATCCGTAGTTTGGGTGAGAACTCCTCAGGTTCGAAAGCTGTGACGGGGAAAGAAGAACATTCATCTAAGCAAGGCCCTGGAGAGAAACAAACAAGTCCAGCGGGCGATTGGGAACAGAGCGGTTGAACTCTGGCGATGTTGCAACTCAGTGGAAATGCGAACTCCCGAACAGGCAGGGAACAACGTCGAGGTGGAGACGAAGGTCAGTGCTCTGACGAACGCCAGCGGTTTCCCACTAAATTGCTTTGAATTAATTCGAGGTTTCAACAGGATCCGCGCCATGCAGCGGGCCTCGTGGCCATGGAGGGTCCTCAGTGGCTGACATAGTCTCAAGAATATTAATGTTCTCTGGATCCCCTGTCGTCAGGGTGCAACCAGACATACAGCAAAGCACAACGTCTTTTCCACCCAAGGGCCCAGGACCAAAGAACCAGCGCAATACAAGGTGGCCATCATTCATATATGTCATCAATTCTATTTCACACTATCGTTCTATATCTACACCCGTATCGGTGTTCCGGGTATATTGTACAGGAGTGTGCCACATTAGGCCCAACCCAAATCCAAACTCTCTAAGTTAATAATAATACACAGCCCATAGAAAGAGTATCATGTGGTACGAATATACGCATCAAGGATCTCTGGACGCATCTATTCGAGGTAGATCTCGTCGCGGATGCGCTGCAGATTGCGAAACAAACCTCCTCCAGGCCCTCCACTGTCATTGCTTGATCGCTCTTCGGCGCTTTGATCCATCGACGATCTGCCTTTCCTGGACGACGTTCGGTCTAAGCCTCCCCGCCGCTGCTCTCGCTCCTTCGACTGGCTCTCCAGCGTCTTGCGGCGGTCCTCTACAATCTTTGCAAGACTGTCTACGAATCGATTCCGTGCCTTTTCCTCCACAGTCCCCTTCCATACCGTCGCCAGGGTCCGTAAAGCTTCCACCCGTTTGGTAGCAGCCGCCAGCCCGGCTTCTCCTCCACCGTTACTGTCCAAGAGCTCTGTAATCTCCGCGCGCAGTTTCTTCGCCACCTCCTGTCCTTTCTCCTCTCGACTATGGTTATCCGGCCCGGGCTCTGGGGCCGAAACGGAGATAAATGAAGAAGTGAGCGATAACTCGGAGGGCGCAAGCGGCCATTCCATAGCCTCTCCAAAAGTCTGCACTACTTGTTCCAGCCGGGCACGAACCTGGCTTAACATTCGTAGTTGCGTGATGAATGGCGGCTCCTTAGCGGTGCTCTGTGTTTCTGATTTGTTGTGATCCTCTGTAGCATCGGTAACTGCAGCAGGCTTCAAAGGGTCTTCGGTGACGCTCTCATTCGTAATACTTGTGTCCAACCCCTCAGGAATGAACTTTGTGATATCATCGTGTAAGGTTTCCGCCAAGGCATCCGCGAGACCGATCGTTTCGCCCCGAAGAACCTCGACTTCATAAGCTAGCCGTCCACCACTTCGTAAAATCTCTTCTGTGAGCTGGGTCAGGATTCCAGACAGTCGGACATTCTGGGCACCCAACTGGGAGAGGAGGGACTGGCTTTTGGTGGCGAGCTCTGCCAGAGAGACAGCGCCCGGAGCTCTGGAGGCATGGGGTTGAGACGATGCCAACGTCAACGGCGGAAGCGATTCATTCAGAAAATCGATCGGATCGAAGGACGGATTCGTGAAATGCTGCAAGGACGGGTCGAGCTGCGAATGCGTAGTGGATCCCCTTTCAGCAGCGGAGCTGGTGGGATTGAGAGACGACGAGGGTGCCATGGATGAGGAACTCTGTAGGCAACGCAAGTCCACACGGTCGGAAAGATCAAGGGCCAAGGCGCCCAATTGCTGTCTTCAGATTATCTGGTTGGGGCAATCATGGCTTGGCAGGCTGGTCGCTCGCATTCTGCGGCGCTGCAGCAGTGGCTCAGCCTAGGCAGATGCAGTGACGCCGTGGATGTGGTGGTGGTGACTGTGATGGTGACGGCTATAAGTTCTGAGCCGTTGTCTGTTGACTGCGGGAGCGGCACGGGCCAGGCAGTATTAACCCTGAAAAGGCTCCGCTGTACGATCGTCCCGCCCCGTGCCAGAGATCACCGCCATCCTCTGTACGGCGCAACCAGAAAACTGACCCACTGTGAAGCAGTCATGTTCAGTGTGAGAACCACGGCTTCCCTATCTATATGTGAGGGGAAGCATTTGCCTTGGCGCCGCTGTGAATGGTCGTCGTTTCTTAGGCGATGATGATACATCACTGCTCGCCGTAGCTTTCTCCCGGCAGACATCGTCGTCTGCCAATATCTTCTCCGACGCAGAGAAGATTCTGCAGGACTTCTCCTGTCGAATGTAAACTTCTCACGTGCCTTTGGTGAGGCAGGGTGCAACTCGCCTTCCTCTGCTACTTTCCCCGTGCTCCTGCTTCGTCATATGAGCATCGAAAGATTCATCGAGAGGCAGCAAGCAGCAATACTTCCTTCAGTACGCGCTTGCTCATAGCCGCCTAAAGTCGTCTATATGCCTCGAAAAGACTTTCTAAGGGACCTCGAACGGGCACGCCGCCCGGGGTGGTTCCCGCGCCTCAGTGATGTGAGGGCTGGTGAAGACGACGGTTCAATTTGCTTCACTTATACTGCAGGCTCTGGGAGCCCTGTCAAGATCGACATTCAAGCTCTTATATCAGGTATGGATGAGCCCAGGACTTTAATATTCCCCTGTATCTTTCTGGGTCTGGATGAGCAAATACTAACTATCGTTTCACCAGATGTCTCCCAGTACCCGCATAACCACGAATATTTTGTGTTCTCGACCTCTGACAATGTTCCTTCTGCTATAGCAAGCAGTCTGGAAGAGGTACAGCCCAAGATGGCAGGTTTACCTGTGATGGACTTCCTCGGCGTTTTGAGCGATGTGATTGAAAATGGCCGCTCGCCGGATCGGAATCTCCATGTCAGATCCCGGCGCGCCGGTGAGAATGGCAGGAATAAGATTCATAGCGATTCTTTATCTGAAGATGGGACGGATTGGGAGTTCTCGATTCAAGATCATATCGATGGACATCCATCGGATGACGAATTACTTCCTCCGACTGGCAATGACTCTGAACTGAAAGCAAAGCTCCGACACGATCTCTGCGCTGCAAAGGCTGCCGGGTTCAAAGTCGGGTACCTGGGCGACTTAACTGGATCAGTCATTGTCTCAGTCTCTTGCCGTATTGCAAAACTTGGGATCTCTGACGAAGCCATGCAAGCCTGGGGTGTTCATTCCAATCAGTACCTAGTGCTATTGATCCGTTATCCCCGCCAATACCTAGATTTCTACCAGATCCTTCACGAGGAGTCGAGAGTGGGCAAGTTGTTGGTGCAAATGCACGTTGGTCTATGCGACTCATACAAGCCAAGTCTTGCCAGTGCCCTCCAAGCGTTCATGCCCTTTGCAAACTCTCTTCACGATCAGCAAAGCCTTCCACATGAGACAGATAACTGTCGAAAGTTGGATCCCTTGTTTATTGATAGACCGCTTCAAACTCTTCTCAATGAACGTTTTGTCAAGATTGTGAGTTATAGATACACATTCGGTTTCTCGTGGGCAGGCGCGGAACTCTACTTCAACAACAGCCAAGGGAAGTTGCTAGACTCTGAAGAGATAGCGGGTGAAGAGTACTTTGCACCAGAGGATTGGGGCAGCTCAGCTCCGAGATTCCTTGCTGCCGACCACATGTCGGACACGTTTCCTCCTGCTCGCTTGTCTTTCCCTCTGCTGGCTATGCAATTCACGCTCCGCCACTTTGTGAAATGTACGGAGTTCTGTCTCATCTGTCACTGTAAAACCGAGGCAGGTTTTGAAGCCCTCAAGCCATATGTTTGCTCAAAACCCTTATGCCTCTATCAGTACATGGCGCTTGGGATGGGTCACAGTCTCGAATGGGAGATACTATCGCAGCCATATGTGGTTGACTTGCTTATCAGCTTCACGTATAGCAGCGCACTAGACGGTCGTCTCAACGATTTCCCCACTGGTCTCGGATTGAAGGTCCCTCCAGTTGCCGAGTGTGGCCGTGACTTCATCCAGATGTTCCACAATCAAGTCTCATATTCGTCCTTAATACCCGATATGCGGGCCCCCAGTTCATATGCGGCCGATCTAGATCCCAACGAAATGAAGCTTGTTTTTCAGATGGCTACCCGAGAACCCTCTGTTCGCCCTGGTGACTGGATTGTCGTCATCGGCCGTGAGCTGGGCGGCAAGGTCCTGCCTCAAAGTCATTGGCATTGTCGCGTGAAGAGTACGGAGGACTGGCCCTCTGTCCAACTTGGGAGTCCGGTCATTCGAGGGATCCCTCCAGATCAGAGGCAGGATCAAAAGCGAGAAGGAGGAAACCAGTTTGAGTCGGTGGTATTCTTCGTCTATGACCAGAACTTTGACAATCTTGACATAGTAGAGAAGAGGAAGGCGATAAGGATGCTTTTGGACACGCTTCCCGACGTTGATACGATGAAGGCTTATCTGACCGGCAGCGGGAACGATTCCGATCGGCTTCTTTCGTCTTGGAAGGACCGAATTTCCGGGTCTGCTCTCGACGTGCTGCGATGGATTGTGGCGTCAAACAGGTCGTGCATCATGCAAGACGATGACATTGACCCCAACAGCAATTCGGCCGCCAATGACAACCTGGTTTCCGGTATGGAGGGCTACATGCAATTCCGATTTGCGCAAGGAGCGCCGGACAAGGAGCAAAGATTCGTCGACGCGGTCAATTCCACCGTTTCTCGTCTCAAGCCGAAATATCCGACTCTTTTTGCCTGGCACGGAAGCCCCCTCTCCAATTGGCACGGCATCGTGAGGGAAGGTCTTCACTTTAAACAGAGACTGCACGGTCGCGCATACGGAGATGGCGTCTATATGAGCACGGATTTTAGGACCTCTCTTGGCTATTGTGGGTATTCGAATTACAGACAATGGCCAAACAGCAAATTGAGGATCACTATGGCCATTTCGCTCAATGAAGTGGTCAATGCACCATCGGAGTTTGTGTGCAACAAGCCACATTTTGTGGTCAATCAGCTGGACTGGATTCAGCCAAGATATCTCTTTGTGAAATGTGATACTGGCGGGAACAACAATGGACATCCGACTCGACACGCCGCAGAGAAGCAGCGACCCTCTGCTGTCTACGAACAAAATCCCAAGTACCCAGTCATTGGACCGACAGGACCAGTTGATATCCCAATCACGGCTCTCAGCCAACGCCGGCGCGAGGCCTATGAAGCCTATACGGAAAACAAGGCGACACCCACAAAAAGCAAGAAGCGGAAGTCTGGGCGCAAGGCGGCCACCCAAGATGCGGATGCGGACAGCGTTGAGACTGACAATGAGGATCTCCTGATTCTGCTTTCGGACACTGAAGACAAGAAGGAAGGAGAAAAAGAAGAAGACAAGGAGGTGGGTCAGACAATCATCAAGCCCACTAAAGGCAAATTGCCAAAGCTGTTACTCTCCTGCAAGAAAAAGATCACCGCCGCCGCCAACTCGACTCCAAAAACCGATTTCCGGCCCGGAACCTTGAGCGAGTCGTCACTGAAGCTCCTCGCACCGCCGAAATACGCGACCAGTTCGGCGACCAAAACCCTCCAACAGCATCTCCAGACGACGCTGAAGATCCAGGAGACGCAGCCCCTGCACGAGCTGGGGTGGTATATCGACCCGAACCTGATCACGACGGTGTACCAGTGGATCGTAGAGCTGCACACGTTCGAGCCAAACCTCCCGCTGGCCAAGGACCTGAAAGCGGCCGGGCTGCACAGCGTCGTGCTCGAGATGCGGTTCCCCAAGGACTTCCCCATGTCGCCGCCGTTTGTGCGGGTCATCCGGCCGCGGTTTCTCGAATTCCAGCGCGGCGGCGGCGGCCACGTCACGGCCGGAGGGGCGCTGTGTATGGAACTGCTCACAAACTCGGGCTGGTCACCGGCGTCGTCGATCGAAAGCGTCCTGCTGCAGGTGCGCCTGGCGCTGTCCAGCACGGACCCATTCCCTGCGCGCCTCGAGGAGGGCCAGAAGAAAGGCAAGGGTCTGCCGAAGGAGTACTCGGTCGCCGAAGCGGTTGACGCGTACCTGCGAGCCTGTCGCAGGCACGGTTGGGAGGTTCCCCCGGATTTTCAACGCATGTCCTGGGGTTAAACCTAAACCGCCTCCCTTTCCAAAAGAAGCAAAAACGATTATCTCTCGATTAATCGATTATGGCGGTCATTTTTATGGCATGTCTGTCCGTTCTATAAATCTTCGAAGACTACGGCCGTGGCGTCTCAATAAAGGTCCTCAGATCTTAAGAAACCTAGGTCTGACTGACTATGCAAGATCTCCACACATGGAAAATAGCAACTCCGTTAAAAAAGAAAAAAAACAATAAGCAAAGGAAGGAAAGCAAGGAGAAGCTCATATTATTATTACTACTGATCCGGGAGGAAAAATTTCATCAAATAATTCGAGAAATGCGATGCAATGCGATGCGATGAGATGGAGATACGAATCCGATACACAGAACCCTTTTTTTTTCTTTCTTGATCTTGCTGATTTTTGTTTTTTTTTCCCCTTAAATTGACGACTGGTTATGATGAGAACAGACGATATCTGGTAACCTACCTAGGTAGACATTTCACTATTATCATTCTTTAGCTAAAGGAAGGTACTTTACTTTACCTTAGGTAGCTACCTACCTGGGTAATAATTAGTTGACTTTAGTACCTAAACTGCCTAGATAATAGTCACTACCTTAACTACTACTTACTCTACCTATTTAAAAAAAAGAATTCGGTATGAAGACATGGTATTCTGTCAATTTTGTTACGTAGGTCAAGCCGGGTCGAATTCAAACCAAGTCAATTATCAATCATTATCAAACAATGAATAAATACTATTCTCAGTTGGTGACGTAAAAAAACAAGATAAGGGGTATCGTCATCCTGGGTGCGTTCATATAAGCACAATACAGACATACACATATACAGGTGGGAAAATAGATAAATACAAAAGACAAAAGAAAAGGTGGAGGTTTGAATGTCCTCAACGATACGGGCGTTTATGGCTCGCTGGAATCCATCATCGCCATTGGTCTGGATATTCTGGGTGTTCTGGGTCTGGGTCTGCTCGGACGGGTTATTGTACCGGCTGGGGCCCTCGCCAACGCTCTCGGCCATGGCCAGCTGCTGCTGAATGGTTTGGTTCGGCGCGGGCAAGAAGATGACCTTGCTGTTGGCCGTCTTGGCCATGGACTGCATCGCCTCGAGGTAGCGGATCTGCATGGCAGGGGCGGATGAGAGGATATCGGCGGCCTGAAAGAAATGACAGTTAGTCCTGAAAGCCCTTTTCTTCTGACGGGCAATGTCAACATACCTGACGCATCAATTTGGCAGACTCGACTTCGGCGCGAGCGGCAATGACCTTGCTCTCACCAATCCGCTTCGACTGCGCAGCCATCGACAGCGAGTCCTGCAGGTCGTTGCTGAAAATGATATCTTTGATCAACATGGATTCGACCTGGACACCCCAGCCCGTCGCGACATCCTCGATGATCTCGCTGATCGACTGCGCGATTTCTTCCCGACGCTCGATCACATCCTGCAGAACGCGAGCGCCCACTACTTGGCGAAGCGTGGTTTGAGTGCGCTCGATAAGCGCTTGTCGGACATTGGAGATACCAAACGCAGCCTTGTGCGGGGAGATGACGTGGTAGTAGATTACGGAGGTCAGGTTCAGAGTGACATTGTCCTTGGTCATGCAGACCTGGCGGGGGACCTCGACGATCTGGATCTTGACATCGACGGTGGTTAAACGTTCGCTCAAGGGATTCACTTTCACCAGGCCCGGATCGACCGCGCGCTCAAAGCTGTGGTTGCGATCCAGTCAGTACCGCGCGCGCTCTATGAATAGGAAGATACTTCTGTTGCATACCGGCCGAATTTCGAAATCAAACCAACTTCACCCTGGTTCACGGGCTTGAATGGATTGGGGCAGCAGCAACAGCAGGGAATGGAGCCCAGGCATCCAATAAACTCGCCCAAGCCGTGTACTGAAGCGTGCCCTGGTTAGTATATGGCTGCGCCCTGGAATAGCGCTGCGAGAGGAAGGACTCACTCATCGAGGCATACCAGCCATGCGCGGCCGGGTTGTCCTCATCGTGCTTGATGGTCTGCGCATATTTCGGCTGCAGATCCTCCAGTCGCGCAGGTTGCACCTGGACCAGGCCGTCATGCGGTCTGCGTTCAGGGCCTACGACTGGCGCTTTGCCGTTGGTGCTCGCAGTTAAAGTCGACATTTTGTACCGGTCGCCTCACAGTGAGCGGGGTCGATAAGAGGTCGATGGGGGGGGAAAAGGGACGAAATAAATATCGAAAGCAGAAGGGACGTCTCAGACAGGGCACGTTTCAGAAGTGGCCGGGATATCTTCTTGGCGACGGTGAGGGTGTCAGATGGAGATGATGCAGAGGAGCAGGCGACTTGAATACTTAAATACCTACTGCTTGAAATACGACATGCCTGTCC